CTTGCGAGGCATTCGTCTTGCGGGGCACCACTGTACATCTCACAACTTTCCCTTCTGACTTTTGAACTATATTCTCGAACTATACAGACACTACCTGCAGGCAGGCCACATTTTTGCATTTAATTTTTTTATGTTTGCAATTTACCCCAAACGCTCTTGGATGAAGCTGGTGATGTGGGCACATTTCAATCTGTGCCCTTCAGACACGGTTTGGGGACTGATCACCTTTCTTGATGACCTTTGCTGGGAGAGGCGCAGATCTCTCAGTGACATGCAATGCCACCAGCCATACAAATCTTTTGAATTTAGGCCAGGAGGTCTGGCATTGTGATGGCTCTGGCCTCACCTGTGGGATAAGTTCAGAAAGGCTTAGTGCTCAGGATTCATCCTTGCCTCCTGTTCTCTTAAACAACCACAGAGGGTAGCGGCGATGCAGTATGCAGAAAAGCAAGAAAGCAGGTTGCAGAAGTTGCTAGCAATGTGGAAATAACTAAAGAATTGAGGTCTCCAACCACTGGGGTTATGCATTGCACATTAATATGGTTACAGGTAGGTAGCCGTGTTGGTCTGCCATAGTCGAAACAAAATAAAAAAATTCCTTCCAGTCGCACGTGAGAGACCAAACTTAGTTGGTCTCTCACGTGCTACTGGAAGGATTTTTTTTTTATTTTGTTTTGACATTAATTTGGGTTAACTTGAAGTAAAATGCTTGAGTTCTGAATATGTCCACATGAGGGCAGCAGAGGATTGGGCATGAATCTAGCTAGTTGACGCTTTTATGGGAAGGTGTTGGTCATTTGCAGAAAGTTAATGAGGTGCCAGGCAAAAATATTCCTCTTCTACCTGCCCTTTGGTTAATTAAACAATCTATGGCCTTTTAAACTCTCTCTCTCTCTCTCTCTCTCTCTCTCAGTGTGTGTAGCATTATTTTTGTTTGTTAATATGCCATATGTTTCTGTGTTTTTATATTGTAAAGTGCCCCTTAATCTTCGGAGGAAGGGCAGTATAGAAATTTAATTAATAATAATGAAGTGAATATAAAATGCTCCTGTTTGCTATCCTAGGTGCAAGAAAGGGGGAAGTGAAAGGAATCAATGGCACTGCATTCTAAATGGATAGAACTTTGCCTCTGTGTGCTGCAAACTAATTAGTATTGACTTTAAGACGGTGCAGTACTCAATATGTCCACATGGCTGCAGCAGAGGATTAGCAAAATTCAAGTTTAGCGGGGAGGGAATTTCTTGAAGAGAAATTAATAGAAAAGGACAAATTGTTTTAAGCTTCAGTAAGCTTGTTAATGGAATTTTGTTACTGTATTTTTAAGTATATTATGCTGTAAGTCAATCGGACTAGAATGTACAAGAGTGAGATATACATTATAAAATATTATCATTTCTACTCCCACTTGTGATTATAGATGTGATTCCCCCCCCACTTCCTTATGCAGAAAGGCAAGTAACAGAAGGAAATAGAGGTTTTTTCGCTGTGCAGCAAATAATCTTTTCTTGACTTCAAGAGGCTGCAGTACTCAATATGTCCACATGAGTGCAGCAGAGGGTTTGGGAAAAAACCATAGCAAATTCAAATTCAGTGGGGAGGGGTAGGAATTGTGAAGACAAAAGCATGGGGGTGTGGAAATTGCTGCTTTAAACTTAAATTATTATATTAGCAGCAGTTTTTTTGTGTGTTTTGTTTACATTATGCTGTAAGTCACTCTGAGTATGAATGTAGAAGAGATATAAGTAATAAGTATAATAAATTCTACTTGTGAACATAACTGGGCCCCCGGCACCTCCCTATGCAGAAAGCCCTCTTGCAACAGATCCACTTAAAAACCACAACTGGACTTTTTGCCGTTTAGAAAGTAATGGGCAAATGCGCTGAAAAGTGTGGGATGAACTAATGAACAAGTGATTAATGGAAAGGGGTGCATTAGCACCGCACCGGCAAATCTCATTGTCATACAACTGCCCCAGAAACAAATCTTATGCATATTATGCTGTAAGCCACTCTTGAGTAGAAATTTAGAAGAGTGAGATGTAAACGATAAATTATTATCATTTACGCTTCTAGTTCTGGGACCCCTGCCCTACATCCTTATGCAGTGCTAGCACACTTGCAAAGCTAAGCAGGGCCCAGTGTTGCTTCAAATTGAGTGAGGGCCCGTGTCCTGATTCCTGAATTGCAGGGGGCTGGGCCAGATGATCCTTTCCAATTCAACGATTCTATGAAATCGAAGTTTGTGTCTGTGCGCTGCACATTAAATTTTGACTTTAAGAGGATGCAGTACTGAATATGTCCACATGGGTGCAGCAGAGGATTAGGAGAAAAACCATAGCAAGTTCCAAATTTAGTGGGGAGGGCCAGGAACTATGAAGATAAACACATGGGGGTGGGGGTGGGGTGGAAATCACTGTTTTAAGCCTAAATTATTCTGTTAACAGTGTATTATTGCATTTTTAATGTATTATTGATATACATCCATATATATATCCATTTGTCATGAATGCTTTAAGTGAGATTCCTGCATTGTAGAGGGTTGTACTAGACCCTTTGGATCTCTTACAACTTTACAATTGTATGATTCTATGATTATGCTGTCAGCCACTCTGAGTATGAATGTGGAAGAAGGAGATAAAAGTAATAAATGATTCTGATTTTGACTTCTATTTGTGAGTGCAGGTGTGACTCTCTACTGCAGCAAACTCCACATATATAATTAAAGCACCTGGACATTTCACAGTTTTTAAAGCAAATGCATTGAAAAGTGATTAATGGGAAGACGTCCCAAGCACCCCACAAGCAAATAAGGATGGATGCTGAATAAACAGGTCATCTGTTTGCATTCCATTTGATGTATTAACAATTAATTGATTTTAAGGTACTGTCACTCAACATGTCCAGGAGAGGGAAGCAGAGTGTTAGGAAAGAGTCTAGCTAGAAGGTTCTGGTTTCGTGGGGAGGGGCAGAGAACTTGTAGAGAAATGAAGGGAATACAACTTTTGACATAGAATTGTAGAGTTGGAAGTGCCCACGAGGATCATCTACCCCAACGCCCTGAAATGCAGGAATCTTACACCCAACGTGGGGTTCAAACTCATGATGCTGAGATTAAGAGCTATCCCTCAGATATCCTACTGCTATTTCATTTGTTAAATGCATTCTCCTTAAATGTATTCTCCCCAACACACTGGTGATAAAACAATGCGAGAAAGAAGAACGTATTTAGAAACAATTTAGCAGGTAAAAACAATTGGAACAACAACGCCTAAAACACGTTTTGTGAATGCCCTGTAATATACAGGAATGGTGGAAGTGAACCGAGCATTTAGAACTGGGAGCGTCTGTTTAAACCATTTCTGCTGCATGCCTGGTAGTGACCTGCAGGTGGCATAAGGGAGGTGAATGTTTTGGGGTGTATTTTAGTTTAATTCACACATCACACATAGTTTAATTCACACAGATCCATGGCTGTGTCCCCTTGGACTGGGGTTGCAAACTGGGCACAGTTGTGCCTCCCTTGCCACATGTCACTTTCCTTGGTGGTTGCTCCCTTAAACGTTTTTAAGGAACAGGGTTCCAAGCTCTATTCCAACCGGCAAATAATTTCAGTCATTGCTGCTGCTCTCAAGCTGTCGACCAGCAGGTGGCGTTACAAAGGCTCTGGACAATCTCATGCCCATAGGGCTTCCTGACATGCTCTGAAAGCCATTGGTCTGGTATATTACAAGTGACCAGATTTATTGAGTAAACCTACAATTGTAAAATAAAAACCAGCCCAAATTCCCCTGTGAAAGAACAGACGTTTGCGTCAGCTAACCCCTTGCCAATGTCCCCTCAGGAATGGCGGCAAAGGCTTTCACTGGAATCATATGGAGATGCTCAGTAATCAAAATACTGTATTAAATTTTCTAAAATGGATTCTGAGGTTGTGCCTGTGCCAGTATAGCAGGACAAGGGGTGCCCATGTGCTGCTTCAGGATGCCAGTGTGTCCAGTATGTCCCATGGTCCCTTAAAAAGTCCTCAGTAAATGTTCCCTCAAAACTCCAGGACATATGAGGTCAGAGGGCCTACCCCCACCATTTTTTCTTGTGTTATGCCACACCCCTGCAGCTGCCATTTTGTGTCATGCTACATACCTATGGCAGCCATTTTGTCTTGTGCCACATACAAAACAGCAGCCATTTTATATTGTGCCACACACACACACACACACAGCAGCCATTTTGTCTTGTGCCCCCCCAAACAAACACCACAGCAACCATTTTGTCTTGAGCCACACATACACCACAGCAGTCATTTTGTCTTGTGCCCCCCCACACCACAGCAGCCATTTTGTCTTGTGCCACATACAAAACAGCAGCCATTTTGTCTTGTGCCACACACACCTCACAGCAGCCATTTTATATTGTGCCACACACACACACACACACACACACACACACACAGCAGCCATTTTATCTTGTGGCACCCCCCCCCAGCAACCATTTTGTCTTGAGCCACACATACACCATAGCGGCCATTTTGTGCCTGGCACCCATGGCACTTTCTCAAAAACCCAAATGTGCCCCGTGCGGTAGAGGAATTAGACGCTAACTGACCCTACTAACTGTGACGACCAGTCAGGCCTTGGGAAGGGGATAGGGACATTTAGGCACTGGAGGTTTAAAAAAACTGTCATTTCAATTGTTGTTTTTGGATACAATAACCTTGCAAGAGATTTCTTGTTGCATGTTTCCCTCGACATGCTCCGGGGAGGAATATGCATTTAATACAGAAATATAAACAACTAACTCTGGAGGCTCAGAAGGTGTTTTTTTGGCTGAGGCCTCATCCAAACTATACATTTAAAGCACTATGATATCTCTTTATACACTCATGGCTTCCCCCAAAGAATCCTTGGGATTGTAGTTTGCTAAGGGTGCTGAGAGTTGTTAGGAGATCCCTTTGTAGATGTGTGCTTCTTTTTTGTGTTCTGTTTTTCTTTCTTGTTTGTATAGTTTTATTTTGGATTCGATGTTTGCAATTTTTGTTGTAATTTTGCATTGAAAATAAAATTTATATAAAAAAAGGAAACCCCTATTCCCCTCACAGAGTTAGCAGGTGGGTGTGCTAGGTGTTCATCTGGGGTGCTGAGCTGAGCTCAGTGGCTGGGCTTCCCCCCATGTACTGTCTGCAGTGAACTAAGGTGGAAAAACCAAATGCCTGCACTGAGCTGAGGAGGGAGCCACGTTGCATTTTTTGAGTTTGTTCTCAGAAGTTCCCACATAGCTCAGTCAGTAGAGCATGAGATTCTTAATCTCAAGTTCGTGCATTGGGCAAAAATGTTTTGGGGCACTTGTAAAACAAAAGAAGGGGGGGAAAGCGGCAAGGGAAGAAGACTGAAGAGGACGCTACAGCTTGGGAGGCTAGTATATACCAGAAGAATAAGAAATCAAGATAACAAACTTTTTATAAAAGAATGAAAATGGTTCATTGAATATTTACAGATAAATTGCAAACAGATTAAAAACATTGGCAGGGTTATAGTAACAACCTGCAGTTTCATAAGGGTATTTATTTAAAGTGGATAATTAAATGAGTAAGTTAAATGAATTTGGATATGCAGAAGATGTTAAAAAAATAATTTAAGGGACAGCAGAAAGAGGGGGAAGGAAGTCAAACTTTGAAATGTTAAAATGATTGTAAAATTAAAGAAATGTGTAAACTTGAAAAGTATAAATAAAAACTTTTTAAAAAGTATATAGTGATCATTTTATTTGCATGCTGCTTTTCCATAGTCCAAGCCATGCCCAAGGCGGCTTATAACATGGAGAAAGTTACACAATTACAAACATAATAAAAGTTGTCATAACAATGAATAAAACAAAGTACACAACCGAACTGAAACAATTTCCACATAAATCACAAGATCTAAAATAAAGAAACATGAATATCCGTAACAGCAACAACCCCCATAACGAAAAGAAACCTAAAAAGTTCCCCAGCCTGAGAGTCTGTCCCTTTAATGCTAGTGATACACAAGACTAATTCCTGCGTGATATTAAAGTACAGGTTCTTGTTTAAATAAATAAAAAGATTTCTATATACTGCACATAAAAGGAAGACTAGTTATAGCACTCCAAGAGGGTGCCTACTTGTTGCAAATGAGTAAGGGAGTGTTGGTGCTCAGAGAGGAGAACTTGCAGGAGGAGCCATTTTGTGTGTGTGCAGAACATAATAAAGCACATTGGCCCATGACTCCATGAGAGTAATCCTTTGAGAGCCACCCCACAAGATGAAAGCTTCCCTGGGGATCCTGAAACTGTAGGAATGCACTGAAAGCAGAACAGTGCAAAGAAGAGGTAGCTCAGTTTGTGGAGACCTTCTCATAGATACTGCAGGGGAGGGGGGGGAAGTCTGGGAGAAGCAGGCTTGTTTTGCAATCCTGCACAAGCCACACAACTTGGTAACGCTGCAAAGCTGCAGACCTGCCTGGAGGGGGCAATTGGGGGGCCCGCGCAAACCAGGGTTCCTTGGTTCCTGCACATACCATTGGCCACCAATGGTGAGTGAGCGCCTAAGATTTCCAGGCAAGTTGCCACTGGAGAATAATTTTTCTGTGGCCACAAAAAAGGCGCATTATTGGTATGAGGCCAGGCCTTCCTTCTTGAGAAGGCCACAGCCAGCAAGACCTATGAGGCTTAGCTTAGTTTAGAAAGAAGCTCTGCCACAACGGGATTGGGATTTGGCGGAGGTACTCAGGGTGAGGAGCAGCCACAGAATTTGAAAATTTGTCGTCCGTGAATGCAGTGATTATTGCATGTCGGCCTGAGCTTTTGTGCGTGCATGCATGGGCCCTTGTAGGGGTGTGGCAGCAGAAGGGCCCCAAAGATCACACCTGCTCCAGGTGCCATAAACCCTTTGGAAAGCTGACCACAGTAGGAGGCACTCCTTGCCCAGGGCGCTGTTTCTCCAGGGCTGGCTTTGCTTACAAGTCCCTGAGTGGAAATCTCCAGGGAAATCTGGGAATTGAAGTTCAGTGAGGGGAATAGGGGTCTCCTAACAAGTCTCAGTGCCCTGAGCAGACTGCAGTTTCCAGGAATCATTCGGGGGAGCTATGACTGTTCAGTGTTGTACCGTAATGCTTTGAAGGTAATTTTGGCCAGTAATCTCAGTCATTTTGCACTCATTGGCTAGAGGACCTAGGTTTGAGTTTGAGTTCACTGTATTGAGGCAATAGTTAACATGGTGGTTTTGTGACGAAGTAGTTGCAACAAACAACAGTTCTCTGCTGGAGTCCTCTCAGCCATGCAGTGGGTACACTTCCACCATTGTTCAGGCATCATCTCCAAACTCCCACCCTAAATCCTCTTGTAAAGAGATGTCTGCAAATCATTACAATCACTCCAGGCAGAATGTTGTTTGCAGATTTCCCTCCTTATATATCTATAAGAAAAAGGACTAGAGGTTGATACTGTGTACACACCATACACTTCAAGACATGCCCCCCCCCTCAATAATCATGGGAACTGTAGTTCATCCTTTCATAGAGCTACAATTCCCACCACCCTTAAACTACAACATATTCTGGAAGAAGCAGGCCACTGAGTATCAGTAATGATTAGTATAAACCCAAAGTGTTCTTTACAGGGGTGCTTTTCTGGCAAAAACAAGCAGGGAAGTGAAACTGAGGACAGGAGTCATTTCGAGAGTTTACAGTGCTTGTAAGGAGTTTGCAGATGGTGAGCTAAAGTTTGTTGTTGCACGCTTGAAGCTGACTCCTGTGCAGGATTACTTGGAAATAAACCCCTCTGCATTTGGAGCGGGGTGGGGCTCACTCCCTGTTCCATGTAAGTGTGCATGGTGCTAAGAAGCCATAGACTGCAAGCTCTCATGTAAACAACAACAGCCCACTAAACTTTAGGGGTAGTTAACATATTGTCCAGTATGGCCCTTACTTCCAAGCAAGCATGTGTAAGATTGATCTGTTAGGGTAATGATTCCCCAACTGTGGACCGTAGACTGCCAGTGGTCTGCGAGTTTCATTCAGATGGTTCATGGCGTGTCTTCAAAAATACAGTTTCAAATCACACAGCATCTAGCCCAGTGTATTTCAACTGATACAACAGGTGGAAAAACCATTAAGAAGTCCACCAAGACTGTCCGCAATTTTCAAGTGGTTCATTGAGTGTGTGTATGCCTAGAGAGGCGGGGAGAGTTTGGCAACCAATGTGCTAGAGTTCATCCGCACCAACTGTGTAGATCACCCTCGTACTACTCTGACTGTCATGGCTTTCCCCATAGAATCCTGGGAACTGTAGTTTGTTAAGGCGACTGGGGATTCTCTTAACAGCGCTCAGCACCCTTAAAAACTACAGTTCCCAGGGTTCTTGGGGGGGGGGGGGTAAGCCATGACTATCAGCAGTGGAAGAGTGCTTTAAAAGGTATGGCTGTGAGCTTTTGTCTCCTAGAAAGTAAAGTTTGGAGCAGCAAACCTGACACCCATTCTGAGGTGATTGCGGGTGGCTGTGGAAAATCTGCTCTTTTGGGGGCTTTCCCCATGTTCATTTCTCTTCACACGATCTGCGAATGCCGTTATATATTTGTGCCTTGCTTTTCTTCCCAGGATCTCAAGTCTGTGTCCATCGCCATCTCCTTCCACCTTTTTATCTTCACTTGGCAGATTAAACTGAGTTAGTACATGTACCCAGGCATAGATTGTCTTTCCCACAGATTGCCTGGTGGGATGGTGGCGAGAAAGCACGACCCCCCCCCCAGTACACATACAGTGCAACTGGCCCGAGAAAACCTGTTAGCAGGATTGTGCGGTGCAAAGTGTGGTGTGTGTGGTGCAAAGACCTGCAATTCACACCACTCTTTCAAAGCACATTTCCCCCTCTCAAGGAATTCTGGGCACTGTACTGCGTTAAATTGGACGATGTGGGAGAGAGGGAGTTAGGGCAGTGCCTCTCCTTTACAGCCGGGCATCCCCAAGTTTAGCTTGTTGTTTACTTGGTTTATAACAAAGTAAGCAGGCAACATTTTCTAATTGCGTGCTAGATGTGCTGTCTGCCCCCTATTCGCTTACTGTAGATTGGGTGGGGGCGCAAGGTCAGAGCTCAGTAGCAGAGACTCTACTTTGCCTGCAGAAAGTCCCTGGTTCAACTCAGGTCTGTGGCAGACCACCAGGCCTCCTCTCCTTCAACTGGGGGCAGCCATTCCACCAGACTGCCTCTGTAGGGGAGATACGGGAAGCAGAGCTTGTTCCACCAGTTTTGCCAAAAGCACCAGCTCCATCAGGCACTTCTTACCCCTGAACTGTGCCAGCTGGTTGTGAAGAAAGACAGTCAATTAGGATTACCCCAAAAACCCTAAAAACTGTTTGTGAATCCCCCCCCCAGCCAGGCCTCAAAGCCTCGCCTCAAGCATTTTTAAAACTGCATTTCCTCTAAGACAAAAAGCATTAGCTAAGCATATTTCTCTTGCTGTAACTAAAAGACTGCAACAAAGGTAGAGAACAGAGTCCATTGTTTTCTCAGAGCCTTTTTGTTTCTCAGGCCTTTGGCCTTGCTAAAACCAGATTGCAACTTGCTTTCTCTCCGGGAACCATGCCAAAGCACGAGAATGAAACATAACAGGAATACTCTGAAACCCCCTTGGTTTCCCTTTCCTGGGAAGGGCGCCAAGAGTCCAAAAGAGTCCCAAGACAGGGGAGCTTTCTGTTCATGCTCAGAGGAACTCATGGGCAGGACTCTTGAAGAAGGAGGAGAAAGGGGGAGGGAAGGGGAATATATACTCTGTGCAAATGGCTGTGCTCGTGCTTGTTTGTGAACTATCACACTTGCTCCTTCTACCAGTTCATGGATGGTAGAAATAAAGCTTTTTCTCCGAAACTATTCCTTGAGTGTCTGTTGACTCCCATTTTCCCTTTCCCGGGCGCAATATTTTTCCCACTCGAGGGCAAAGCCTCATAAGGCTACAGTTGTAGAGCAGGTCCCTGAGTTTGATTTCCCCCCTCTTCTCTCCCTGTCCCTTTCCCCTTGTGTGCCTTTTGTTTTAGGTTGAATGCCTGTAGACAGGGACTGTCTTGTTTCTGCAGGGCAAACAGAAAATACAGTGGTACCTCTGGTTAAGTACTTAATTCGTTCCGGAGGTCCATTCTTAACCTGAAACTGTTCTTAACCTGAAGCACCACTTTAGCTAATGGGGCCTCCTGCTGCCGCCGTGCCACTGGAGTACGATTTCTGTTCTCATCCTGAAGCAAAGTTCTTAACCCGAGGTACTATTTCTGGGTTAGCGGAGTCTGTAACCTGAAGCGTATGTAACCTGAGGTACCACTGTACACACCACAATTTCCTCACTGCGTAAATCATGTTCAGAATACCACAACACACACGTAACTGGCTGTAAAGTAACATAACATTAACATTATATATAATGTTTTATATATAATAAAACTGTAATCTAATCACATCAAAAATTATATGATGATTAGATTACAGTTTTATTATATATAATGTTATGTTACTTTACAGCCAATTATGTGTGTGTTGGGGCAAACCGAAAATGGCTTGGACCCTTTGCCTGGAGAGCATGGAACAAGCGGAAAACCTCTCGGACTCATGCTTTGTAGACACAGGACAAGCGAATTGTGGATGAGCCCTTGATATAAGGCAGCTTCCTCTGTTCACACAACCTATGCTGACACAGTCCTTGGGATGAAGAGGTCTTATTCAATTGCTATTCATTCAATTTAAAACATGTGCAGAAGACCCTGTGACCAGAAGTGAGGACAGTGATGAATGTGATGATATTAGCTGCTTTGAAACCCACCCTGACCAGCCTGAGACTTCCGTTTCTTCTCTGCATTCATTCCTCTGGACCACCTGATGCATCTCCTGGCTTGGGTTGGTTATGGGGGAACATGCAAACCTCTCAGTTGCTGTGATATAAGGGATAAAAGACTACACACATTTTTTATGAGTCAATATTGGGCAAAACAAAACTTCTTCTCCCATCTGTGACATGAATTTTTTTTTTTGGGGGGGTGCCTCGTGGATGGGCACAGTTGTTGAAGGAGTTCTTTTTCAGTCATGCCACTGTGACCTCTTTAGCTGAGAGCAGTACCCAGAATCCTTTGCTGGTGCTGGTGCCGCTGCTGCGTGCACCACTTGCTCCTCACTGCATGGCCGCTTCTGCGATGCAAATGTCGCTCTCTCACATGCTTAAAAGATGTTTACCGTACGCCCGGCCCAGCTGGATCCCACCCAGCCCCCAAGGCCCTGCTCCTCCCCTCGCGGTTTCACACTGCGGGGTAATTATAGCCTCGCGTTGGTGAGTTTTGAAACCGAGAGGCGCTAAGAATAGCAACAGAAAAACGTCCTGCAAGATGGCGTTTCCTGAAGCTGCAGTTTCTTGTATCTCATCTCTCACCCTCTCCTTTTTCCATTGTAAAGGTCCGCTCTTTCCAGCCTCCTATGCTTGGCCAGAGTCATTCCATTCACATGAGCTTCCTATTATGGGTCTGGTCTGCACACATGGGTGTAGTTGGGGGGGGCAGGGAGGGACACCTGCCCCCTCAGTCAATGAAAATGCATAGCAAACTGAGGTTCTGCCCCCCCCACAAGGGCTGTCCCCATGTCTGCACATGTAGTATTATGGGGTGGGAGGATACTGAAACTGGTTGCATGGACTTCCCTGGGGTACCCAACATGGTGCCCTTCATATCTTGTGGACTGCAGCTCCTGGTCATAGATCAAGGATGATGAGAGTTGGAAGTTCACAAAGAGCACCACATTAGCTACTTTTGGACTACCCATCAGATTATAGGTGGTGGATGCCATTTTTAAACACTTTGCTTTGTTCAACCAACCAACCAACCAACCAACCAACCAACCAACCTGTAAGTCAAAAGCTAGCACAACAAGTTGGACCTGGAACTTTTATTTCCAATTGTGTTAGCTTTCTATTTGCACAGAGTCCCCCCCCCCCCCTCCATCTCTTGTAAAAGAACAATGAAAACGTTATTCCCCACTTGAAGTGATGCACTCTATTCTTCCACCTCATCCTGACCTCATTCTGCTACAGGTGTAGGCCCAGACTTCCTCCTTGGAAGCATCATATTGCGACTTTCGCTCCAGGTCTCTGATGGGTCTGTTTCATTGGAATAAGGTCACGGGAGGCTTTTGCCAGTTTTGTGATGTATGGTTTATTTACATGCATATACAGGGATCGGAAGGTTCACATCATTAGCACTTCTTGCATATTGTTTCTGGGATGCTTGTGCACTAAAAACAGTAATGATCACAAAACCTGCATCAACTGGAAAGGCCCGCCCGCAAAGGATATCTAGCCCAGCCCCCTAATGGTGCAGAAATCTATTGCTATACGATCCCAGATGAGTAGCTATTCTCTGCTTAACAACCTCCAATAAATGAATATGCAATAGATTAAGGGATTGATAGTCACTGGTAGTTTGAAGACCATAGACTGTATCCTGTGATAGTCTTACTCAGAGTAGACCAGTTGAAGTTAATGGGCATGCCTATCTTAGTTTAAGTTGGTCTGCTCTGAGTAGAACTTGGCTGACTACAATCCTGTGGCAGTAAGGAAATGGTGTGTAAGAGATGGGCAAAAGAGCTGGCTTATTTGAGCGTATTGCATGCACATAGATAGATAAGGATATTTATTTCATATGGTTAAAGAGACCTGGCAAAGATACTGGAAAGTGGAGTTTCACATCTCTGGGTGAAGTTAGAAGCCAGATAGTGTCAGGCATGTTGGGGCTAGAGACACCAGACATTCATTCGTTTAAAAAAGCAATAGCTGCCAGGATGGTATGCCTCTGAAACATGAAGACTAGATTCAAAATAATGAAATATTTAAAAGCACACAATAAGATATATATATAAACACACATGCACACTAAATCTAAAATAATATTATTTTTATTTTTTAACCCCCCCCCACAAAATAAGAGCAGCAAAAGCAACAATAAGAGTAAAACCACCACTGCTTAAAAGCCTGGGAGTAGAATGTATTAGTCACCTGTTAGTCTTTATTCACCTGTGCCAGCAGAATATCTCTAGGGAGACCATTCCACAACAGGGGCACCACCACTGAAAAGGCATATTTTTATTTGTGGGGGTGACTGTCCTTCTGTTCTTTACTAGGTGGGAGAAGCAGATGTTTCTGACTCTTGGTGGAAGCCAGTTAAGATATCGGACCACATAAAAGTGTTTCCTCTTGAAGGCACTGTCCCAACACATGGCATTCAGGATAATTGCCTCCCCCTAAGACAATCGCTGTGCTGAAAGGGCCTCATCACTTGCCAGGAGAGAAGTAGGAGCTGAATGAGATAGGAAATGAGAGAAGACCCGGGATGTTGACACTGGAGATGAAGCTGCGGGTCCAAGCAGTGGCTTCCTCTTTTCACCTTTGAAGATGGAGGATGAGATTCCTAGGAAAATGCTCCTAGAATGTCTGTGGGATGACATTCTTGTATTCAGGGCCTACAGGCTGCTTCTTCAGGTCTGCCACAGTGGAGAAAATCCATTTTACCTGTTGGGATGGAGGGTGAAGAGTGGGGGAGAGAGGACAGGGGTGAGTGTTGAACAGAGCTGGGGAACCTTTTTTGACTGGTGGACCAGATCCTTAGCTGCCCACTGCAGAGGGCATGATTTAACAGGTAGATGGGGGCTCCCATGTGTCAGTCACCTGATGTCTTAGGTACATCAGGTGATGCTGCATTTCGAAACACTGACTGTTGTGACTTCAAATAAACAGATACATAGAAAAGAACAGTACAGGGCTTTTTGAAAGCCCTTATGCAAACAGGTTATCTGAAGAAGTGTGCCTGCACACGAAAGCTTATACCCAGAACATACTTAGTTGGTCTCTAAGGTGCTGCTGGATAATTTTTTTATTTATTTCGACTGCATCGGACCAGCACGGCTACCTACCTGAATCTAGTCCCATGCTGTTCTTTGAACCTTCAAAAATGTCGTATCTTGCCTACATTAGTAAGAGGTTATTTAGAAGCAAAACTCTTTCTGCCAACCAATAGCTGAAGGAATCTTCAAATGCAGTCAGTGCAGGACTTTTGCCTAAGTTCTCTTGAATGTACTGTTATTACACTTGTGCCATTTTAAGATATTTCTTTTCTTCCACTTTGAAATGCCACATAAAGAACATTTTCCTCAAACAAATGCAGTGTTTTTGTTTTTGTTTAATTACAGCCCTGTGCCTTGAGCCTTTCAGACTCCACTTATGATCCAGAGTGGTAGCAGATCCTTGGAAATTTCCACAAGTTCTGGACCATATAGAGGTTTGTTAAAGAGGAAGGAGAGCAGATTAGGAGGTTAAAGAAATAGGCTGCCTACACACCATACGTTTAAAGCACATGGCTTCCCCCAAAGAATCATGGGAATTGTGGTTTGCTAAGGCTGCTGGGAGATACATAAATGTGAGGAATAAATGACAGTTCCCAGGATTCTCTGGGGGAAGAGCTTTAAATGTCTGGTGTGTGTGCAACCTATATTCTACGTCCCTCTCTCCTCCCCAGCAAACAGCGAATGATACATATATTTTAAACACTTATCTCTTGGGTTTTAGTTGTTGCTTTCTTCCTCCTTCGGGCTCTCTCACTGCCGAATGCAAATGCTGATATGTGTTTTCCCCTTCCTTTCCCCTCACCTTGAAGAGTGTCATTGTGGTGCTGTAACACACACTGATGAGGAAGAGAATGAAGAAAACCAAGATGGTGGTCCATAATTTTTCCAGTTCCTCTTCGACCTCGTCGCTGAGATCAACCTCTGTCGATATTATTATCACTGTGGGGAAGAAAGAGACGCCATTCTCAGTGTTCATAAATATAAAATTCCCCAATATGAATAGTCCATCTATCTATTGACCCACAAGTATATCCATCTACTTCTGAATCCCATCATTCTGCATAAACATGGAGCCTGCCTTCCCCTAGAATATGATTGTACAGTGGTACCTTGGTTTAAGAAGTTAATCCGTACCGGAAGTCCATTCTTAAACCAAAGTGTTCTTAAACCAAAGCGTGCTTTCCCATAGCAGCGGGGGACTCAATTCACAAATGGAACACACTCAACAAGAAGTGGAACATGTTCTGTTTCCAAGGCAAAGTTCACAAACCAAAACACCTACTTCTGGGTTTGCAGTGTTCTTAATCCAAGTTGTTCATAAACTAAGCTGTTCTTAAACCAAGGTACCACTGTACTTAACTCTTATGGAGGGTTATGCAAATGTTTGTTCCCATCTAGTCTTATCTTTAATGTTATACAGGTGTCAGATAATCCTTTTCATCCACACTTCATCCACAGTCATGCTGCATCATTGATATAGTATTATTATTTTAGTCTGATGGCAACTATGAAGCCTATGATGCACTGCGAGTATGAATGAAATGCACAAGTGTTGATTTGTCTCCAAATTCTACATAACACGAACTATGATCATCTAAATTTTGTACTAGTGGTTTGTTCACCCCATGTTACATTTAGGCCAAGGCATACAAAGTAGGTTCACTCTCATGAGAGCTCTCCCTCCCTTTGTTTCCAGTCTCTCTGCCGAAACACTGGTTCACCCAGTTCTTCTGGGTTTATTTCTCATGTCTCTAGGGCACCACTTGTGATGCCCTTTTGGCCATGTTACTCAGCATCTGTGTATTACGAATCTGCAGAAGCGTTGAAAACAGTTGCTAGACATGTTTGCCACATGACCAAGTGGATCCTATCCTTGATGGCAACGACGAGGCATTGGGAACGACAGGATGAAATAATCCTGTGGAAAACTTGTGATATTTGGAGACAGCAGGGATATCTTAATTCAGCCTTAGTAAGCTTATTTTATGAGGGAGCAAGTTGTTTTAGAAAGGCCACGCAGTGAGCTTCATGGCTGAGCAGGGATTTGAATCTGGAGGCCTAGCTCCCAAACCCAACACCAACAAGTACACTAAACATGGCAGTGGTTAACCTTGGTGTAGAAGTAGCCAAGCATTTGGTGGGGACAGTGTAGAAAAAAGAAGAAGTTTGTGAGTCTCTGTCTGTTGAGTCTGTTGGAAATGCATTCAGTGCATGACTTGAAGGGGTTGATTCTGCTATTAGTCTTTATGACAGCAGACTCTGATTGACTGGAGATTCCTGTCATTTGGGATTTAGCTGTCCATGAGAAAGGCAGTTGAGATTTGACAGCTGGAGGAGAAGTAGAGATATGCGGTTCTGAAGGATTCCTCCCATTAGCTGCATAGATCTGACCTAAGAGAGACAAATCTCCCTGTTTTATTTCATAAACTGGTTTTGCCCTGTTTACCTCAGTACAGTTTTATCTGTCTCCTTTCTCTCTGGATTATCTCTGCTTTATTCCAATCACTTTGCTAACAAAATCAAGAGGCCACATATAAGGCACAAATATCCTATGACTGACTTAACTTTTGTAATGCAAGAAACACATCTCTTACAACTGCGGCTTCTATAGAGCTGTCTCAAATAAGGGCTGGCCACTTTCTTTCCACATGAGGAGGGCATAATGAATTTTGTGTGCACGTGTTCATTTATCCATGCGCTTCTCTGTGGGCATGTGGATATTTTAGGTTGGTTTTGTGCCCCCCATCTCTTTGTTTGCTCTGTTGGCCCTAAATAGTTTTCTCTTATACGTTCAAATGCAAAAAAAATGCCCAAATCCCTAGGTACCAGTGTCAAGCTGTTATGTCTCTTATGATGTTTCTAGCCTTGTTAGGTGAACAAGGGCACACTCTGTGCTTGAGGTCTTGTGTCTATTCCCGAGTCATTTTTAAAGGCCCAGCTGAATCTGAGGCGGAGTTCACAAGCCCCTTAAGTCAAAGGAAATGTTACTTTCAATTCTTTCACTCCGCAGTGTGTGAGCACTCCATTAATCTGGCCTGAATGCTTTGTGAATTTGGATTTACTTGCTTCCTACAAGAGGTGCCTCCAGACTGTCACTGTCTTGGGGGGGGGGGTCAGGGGAGGAAGATGCCTCACTTTCCCTGCAAGACCCCTTACACACACACACCCATTTCCAAATTCTACTTCTTCTAACCTTTACCGCCACCAATATTTCACAAAGATAAAACATTATCTGATTGTTTTTTGGCCAACCTCTGACGCCAGCTTTTACATCATATGCTTTGTACCTGTTTGATGGGGGAAGTGGGATGGGGGAGGAGAGATTATATCAGAAAACATAATTTTCTGTTGCCCTTCCTCTCTCTGTAAATAGATGCCAAGAAAGTGACTATACTGACCAAAGCTTGCCTTTAATTTTTTTTTTTTAGAATATGAAAGGAAATTGTAAAACACATCTGTTTCTCTGCCATTTTGTCTCTTATTTTTTAGTGTTTCTTTTGTATAAAAAAAATCCTGTGGTGTGCATGTGTGTCTGTGTGTTCCTTTTGAGACCACACCATGTATCTTTATATGTCCTCGCAGTATGACTGACTGAAACACTTTTTGCTCTCCCAAATGGAAAATGAGAGTGTGCCCTTCTGAGCATGTGCAGAGGGTAGGCAGTGTGGAGCAGTGAGCAGAGTGTTGGGATTGGTGCGGGGAGATGTGTGTGAGGCTTGGAGAGTCAAGTCACCACTTGGTAATGAAGATTCACTGGGTGGCCTGGGAGAAACCAAGCTTCCTCAAGGCTGTTGTGAGGCTAGCTTGGCATTACCTGATATTTGAAGGCCTGGGCTCCTTGTTGGAAATAGGATACAACTGTGACAGTGATAAACACATTTTCCCCCTGCTGCCAACCTTAAACATTTGGCATTTGTTTTCGAGAGATTAATCCCATTTCCCCATTAATCCCCCCACAAGTCACCTTCTCTCCTGGAAGAGCCACAATAATAGATATCTATGACAGTCTTTGGATGAGTTCTTTTTTTATTCAGCCCTTGGGTACATTTTTGCATGGAGATTTTTTACACAGGGTTGGTCTAACAATCTCGAGAGAGAAAAAAATCTGGGGCCATAGGGCGAGGGGATCGCAATGCTGGCTGAGGGCCGTTTTCATTTTTTACCCCGGGATTTCTCAATGGTCTTCTGAATGAACTTGAGGGTCAGACCTTCATGGACAACCATGCAGGTATAGGCATCACCTCTGTTCCAGTCTGCTTTGGGGACTTTCAGCTTGCTGAACAAGAAATATAAACCATCGCCATCACTGTAGACAGGGGTGCTGAGATAGTCAGCTTCAGGCAGAGGGTTCCCATTCTTGAGCCATTTCAGGGAAATGTCACTGGGCTTGAACCCTCTCACCAGGGCAGTGATGGAGACATAACGGCCATTAGACCTGAGCTCATCATCGTGGGGGCGGAAGAGATACACACCTGGAGCTTCTTTGGTTTCTGGTTATGCATAGGGAAACAGAAAGAGAAAAAGAAAATGACTATTCAGTTTAGGTCAAATTAGTGGAAACCATGTGGGGAGCTGGGGAACGGAGGAGATACAAAGGCTTCTGTGCCAGGTATGGGCAACCTGTAGCCTCCCAGATACTGCTGAACTACAACTCCCATAATCCCTGGCCATTTGTTGATGGGAGCAGGGGTCCAACTACATCTGGAGAACCACAAGTTTCCCATCCTTGGCTTAGGGAAACATGGTTTGGGCTACGTGTCTTGAATGGTTCAGAAAACCCCCTGACATGTTTGCTGGGCTTCTCTGTGGTGAATGAACAAAACACACCACTAATGTGCCATTTAGAGGACATTCACATCACCCCTTTTCTCAGGCGTATACAGAAATTTCGTAGCACACAAGGACCCCCCAAACTGCCCCAAACCAGGAGGCTTGTTCTCCGACGCTGCCTCTCCAGAGCTGTCACTCAAGCATCTGCCTGTGGGGCAGATTAAAGGTGCGAAATGGGCCTTGGTTACAATGATGTTCATAACTGCTTTGTACATAATAGCAACAATAGTCCATCTACGTCAGGACATGTTGCACAACTATTATTATTAGTCAGATGGAAAGTTATCACACGGAATAGAGACTTCATTTTTATGAGGGTGGAAACCAGTATGCTAGAGGCATCATTTCCTATGTGGTACAACTTCCCTTGGCACAAGTGTCAAAACATGCTGTACAGGTTTTTTAAAGCACTGCATGTGGGTTGTGATGGTGGGACGGTTGTGGGGACCACAAGCAACTATGCCCCCCTCAAACTACATGCAACATGTTGAATTTTTTGTGTGTGTGTTGCCAGATCTCACTGTCCACATTGGTATATTGTGTTTGTTCTAAATGGTGCTACATTGATATGCCTTTTCAGTAATCTCTTTCCTGCTCAGGAGGTTGCTGGGAAATTTGGGACACCATTTGCAGGGTGGAGAGCAGGCCTGCTTCCCGCTTACCTTTCTTCTTGCTAATCTCTCTTGTTTTCGGTTGAGGCAGGGATGGGTGTTGCACTGTGCAGATAAAAGGCTCCCCTGACAACCAGGCGCTTGCGGAAATGATCACAGAGCTGGATGCAGTGAAGGTGTTATTAACCTCCTCTCTCCATGCAAGTGGCTCAGGGCTTAGACTTCCTGCTGTCTGCCGTGACCAGGTCACTTCCAGTTCTTCCTCTTCGCTTTCTAAGTTGACTACCACGCAGCTGAGTTTTGGTTGCTTATCCATGTAAAGGTCGTTGGGGCTTGGGGGTAGGATGAAAACTTTGAGGGGAGTTCCTGAGGAGTCTGGGAATACAAAAACCCATGTCAAGTCCCAAGTCTCCTCCCACCATTTCCCTCCCAGCCTGCTCACAGAATCTTTTCCTGCTCTGCTTGCTTCTCTTTCAGAGTAGCTCTACAGCTAAGTCAGTCCAGGCTCCCCATTTGGCTCACCTGAGAGTTCCTGCCAGTCCCTTCCCTTCCCTTGAACAACTCCAGCACCTTCTACCATTGCTGAATAATCCCAGTTCTCTGTTGTTTTTGGAACTTGCACCCCTTTAACTAGTGTGTTTGCCCATTCCCCAGATTCCCCGATGGATCACTATCAACACCAGTGTGCCATAGAGACATTGACAGCTCGTGGCACAAGTAATCAAGCTAAACTGCCTTCTGCAGAAGAAGAGAAATGTGTTTCCTCAACTCCCTGACAAACATTTAATCTAAACTGGAGAAATCTGAGTGTGTGAAAAAGCCCCCTATCAATATTTTTCAAAGGAAAACTGAGTTGATGACACAGAGTCCTGCCTCTACGACACAGAGTCCTGCCTCCAGTTGGTTCAGTCTGTGAAGTTCCAGATAAATGCAGTAAAACCTCAGATATACCAGTAGGGCAAAAGGTTGGAAAAAGCCATTCCAAATAGCAAAGGACCATGATGGATGTATTTCTGGGCCATTGGGAAACCCAGCATAAAATGGAAGTAGCCCCTTGCTCTTGGCCTTTCTGTTTTTCAGTCCATGCCCACTTCATCCGAACCTAACCAAGTCAGAACTGAGTCAGGAGTTCTTACCTTCACAGATCTTGGCTTTGCTTCTCACAGAAGTTTGGGTTGCTGTGTGGGACACCTGGCAGACGTAGACATTCCCATCTTCCCAGTCTGCTTGGCTAATGTTGACTGTGCTGATGGTACTGAAGGTGTACCCATGGGTGTCTTTCCAGGGCTGCTCAGTGAAAGAGGGTTGCGACATAGGTTTCTCACTCACCAGCCAATTTACCGTCACATTGTTGGGGTAGAAGTTGGAGATAACGCACATCAACTCAATGGTGGCATCTCTGGAGCTGGCCTTGCAGGAGGAATGGAGCAAGCGGACCTTTGGGGCTACGGGATCTTTCTTTTCACAGGCTGGAAGAATAGGAAGTATAGGGAGTCTCATGAATACCTGTATTTTAATGATGTGCGGTGCACCTAACCACCTGTCTCATTTCCCCAAACTTAAATTCAGTTCTCCGCATGTCTACATTATTTAGTTGAGAATTAGCCAGGATTTTAGTACAAACTGTGCTTAATATTCATGTCTTGTATGCAGTTTTGCTGAATAAATACACAATCTGGAAACAATTTTCCTGAACATAATACATTTGTGTGCACTGTTTTTTTTGTGAATATATGTATTTTTTGTATATTTTTGCACACTTTTTGGGCAGGGGAACTGCATCACAAAATTCAGAGAGCCACGAATTTAGGAGAATGGGCTTTCTGTTTGTGCATTATTCCAGGTAGTGTGAATTAGTTTCTATTGAAATGCAAACTGAACTGAATCCCCCCCCAATTCCCTAAATGTGAGTGGCTTCTAATTCACCTGCCATTAGTTCCTTTGGTTCCTGTATTCATTTCCCTCTCTCCTTATGCTAGCCTTTCCCAGAGAGGGTAGAACAGCCTCACTCTCTGTGAATCAAGCTTATTCCTCTTTCTCTTCTGAATCCCTGCACTAAACCCACTTCTTTTCTTAAACATCAAATTTCACTTTGCTGGTCCCAGTGCCAAGGAGTGGAGGGCAGTTCCCTCTTCTGTTTCATTGTCGGTTCTAAGTAGGCTTAAGGACCACTAAGAGGGCTGGTAAACTATGTATAAACAGTTGAAATGAGATCACATATGTTAATTGCACCGTTCCCTTTGTTGTTGTTTCTTAAAAGACTAATTTAAGAAAGTGTCTCTCTGTGTGTATGTGTGTGTGCAGAGCATCCTGTGTCGCTAATATTCTCATAAGAAAAATGAAGAGGGTGTTTTTGCTGAATTTTGACACCTATTGCTACAATCTGTCATGGTGCAACCTGACTTTCCCTAAATTTGAATCACTATTAACTGGATAATTCTAAATCCTTTCTTCCCACTGCTGTCTTGTCTATCACAGGCACATGTGGGGAACCTTTGGCTCTCCAGATGTTGCTGAAATATAACTCTCATAAGTAAGAATGGTCAATTGGGAGTCTTAGTTCAGCAAATCTGGAGGGCCAAGGATTCCCTACATCTGATCTTGCTAGGTTGTATCCATTGATAGTCATACCCACTGAAATTAATGGGCATGGCCAATTTAGGTTCCTTAATTTCAATGTGTGGGTCTACTCTTGATTAGAATTTGGTTGGATACAACCCACAATATTTGTGAGTGTTCTTTGTAGTGCTCAATGTGCTTCTGAGGATACAAAAGTCAGGTGGTAGGACCAAAAATATTGCAATCATTATCCATCCCTTCACCCACACAATCCATATTTCATTTCTTTCTGCTCCACCCAACAAACACTGAAGGAGGAAGAAAGCAGATAACACAAAGGCTCAACCAGACTCACGTCCAAGCTCTTTGTTGATTGTGGAGCTGGTAGCTGTATGTACAATATGGCATTGAAGCTTCTCTGATTCCCAAGTGCTGGTTGGGATGGTGAGCTGGCTGCTGAGGGTGTAGTGGCCACTGGATGAATCCAATAGAGCAGGGAAGGTCCGGATGTCAGATGCGGATCCTGAATTCCACTGTACTTTGACTGGTTCGGGAAAGTAGCCAGAGACCAGACAGCCCACGGTAACCTGGGAGGCAGTGGCGAGGTCTTGGCAACAGGGGGACAATGGGAAGACGACTGGGGCTGTGGGAGATGCTGCAAATGAAGAAAAAGATGTGATGACAACCTGTTCCTTGGGCAAGCATTTGTGTCTCCTTGCCAAGAGTGGGAAACAAGATATTGTTCACTTCCACGCCATGTGAATCTGGTGTTCAGTCCTGGTCAAAAGCTTTGAAGGCTACCTGGAATTATTGCATAATTTGACTTGCGGTTTCTTGTTATCCCAGGGACAAGGAAGCTGCTGAGAAGCATATTCAGCACCCTTATGCCATCTTCCAAGATTTGTTTCCAGGCACTGCCCAACCACTTTCAAGCTTATTTTTACAGTTGTGAGGTTTGAAAACTTTACAGTGCTGAGTTCTATGGAGAAAACACTCAGACCTGATTAACAACCTTTGACAAATTTATCTGTCTCGGAGGACAAACCTATGCTGGACTAGATGAGCCATTGGCCTCATCCAACATAACTCTCCCTATGTTCTAAACTAATCCATTAAAAAGCCACTCATATACTCTCACACACGTAGAATACATGACCCAACCTTGAACAACCACTAACTCTAAGGCCGCACACACTTCCCAAAGGATCCTGTACACACTTCCCAAATGAATAATCCTCACTGAACACAGTGGGTATTACTTCTGAGGAAACATGCATGGGATTCTACTATAATTTGATTTGACATCCATTTACAGTGCAATCCTACGAAGGCTCACTGTGAAGTATACCCCACAGAGTTAATTAGTTGACGCCAAGTGATTGTGCATAGCTTTGTGTCAAGGTAATATTTCTCCCCTTAAGCTAACATATGAAATTAAATATGGGAGACATTTTATTTTGTATTTCATGGGTGCCCAAGTGGGTGGGGTCCTGTCTGTGAGAAAAGGACATGCTTCTGTGGCAATGCGGAAGGATCAGTGGAACATTAGTGGGGGAGAGGGGGGGACTCAGAAGGGTGGGTTACAGGAAAGGGATGTGTTTCTGTGACCACTAGATCAGAAGGTGACTTTAATTCTGAAGAAGAACCTTGCATGGCTCAGTAGCTTCTAAATTATAAACAGCTAGAGCCATCACACGAACAAAAATATATAATTTTTACTTAGAGTTCCCCACCTTTTTAAAAACTGGCCCTGTTCCAATGCCAAATACTAGGAAATTTAGCAGACATGGAATTAAAATTGTGGCAAAAACATTAGCTGCTGCTGCTCTGAATGTGTGTGTGTGTGTGAGAGAGAAAGCTCTCACGTGCTAGCTTTTGAAAGTTTTACTGGGTGCATTTTGATTCTTATTGTAATTGTTGCTCCTTTTAAAAAGTTTTTAATGGCATTTTATTGTTTACTGCTAGACTCCAACACCATACATTTAGGGGACATGATTTCTCCCAAAGTATCCTGGGAATAAGTTTGTTAAGGGTGCCTGGAATTGTAGTTCTGACAGGCCAAAGTTCCCAGAATTCTTTGGGTTAAGAGTGTGCTTTAAATGCATGGTGTGTATATACTCTCACTGAAGTCTTTTGAGGAGATAAAAGTAGTTTAATATTTTTAATTAGTGTGCAGAAGGAGAAGAGCAGACACATACTTCAGTCACCAATCTTGGTTTCAAAAGCACATTTCCTAGGATCATTTGGTCCTATAAATGAACTTCAGATGAAGATCCAGATATTTGTCCTAGGTAGCGTTTTTACTACCATCAACCAGGTCTCAACATTCACGGCCTGTTTTAGCTCTGTTTTCTGTTTCACTTCCTCTTATTTCAGCACCATCTGTATCTGCCCAGATGTCCTGCATCCTGTTTACCACCCTCTTGCATTCAGTAAAAGGTAGAGCAAATAGAAGCATTTAGAAGAAACATGGAAAAACTGTTCAGCAGAATTTTTTAAAGAAGAAAAATGGAAAAACAACAACAAGCAAACGGTGGTAGAGAACATTTGAACTGCACCAGCTGATGGCGATACTAAAAACTATTACTAATACTAATAATAAATTGTACAAAAAAATTCAATCTGTTCCATATTATGCTCAATATTTTGAAGATTCCATGCAAATAATAATAATAATAATAATAATAATAATAATAATATATTAATTATACCCCACCCATCTGGCTGAGTTTCCCCAGCCACTCTGGGCAGCTCCCAATCGAGTGTTAAAAACAATACAGCATTAAATATTAAAAACTTCCCTAAACAGGGCTTATCCAGTTATCAACAACTGGAGTTTTATGGGCCTAAAATATCCCAGAAATAATGGTCTTTTGGGCAGCCCAGGGACCAGGGCCTTCCAGATGTCGCTGAAGTCCAACTCCCATCAGCCCCAGCCAGCATTGCCAAAGGGAAGGGTGATGGGAGATGTAGTCATCATTTATCTGTAGGGCCACAGTTGCCCCATTTTTGGCCTAGCATTTTCCTTCTGGTGCAGTCTTAGCCAGTCAAGTTCCCGCCAAAAGTTTTGGACAACAACTTCCATCAGCAGGGCATAAATTCAGCAGGTGAAGTTTCCCCCACAGCATGCAGATGCAGCAATGATGTACCTGCACTAATGAAAGGAGCTTCGTATTTTCTCTTACTGTTTGCCATTTTGGTCACACCCAAGCTATACATTTAAAGCATATGACTTCCCCCAAAGAACCCCGGGAACTTGGATTCAATTCATTGCAGCTCTGTAAACCACCTGATAGCTCCCCAATTGAATTGTTAGGCTCATCTGACGCCCCCCCCCAGCTGCAGGGCCCTGTAAAAAAAGTTGGCTATTGACCATAGTTTTCCTGCTGACTCATACCTGCCACCCCATAATCCTCACACACGCCTCCTTCAGTTCATTGCGACTCTCATTCCCTGTTCTGGTCCCTTTGATGGCTCCCCACTTGACCTATCAGGGTCAGCTGAGTTTTGTACAAAAGAGTTCGATTAAGTCTGCTTAAAAAGGAAAGCTGAGGTGTGTGTGTGGAGGTTAACAAGCCAGGGGCCTGTCTTCGTAACAATCAGTCAATCTGCAGGCATTACTGATTTTCTGCCAATTAAGTGGCTGTTAAACAACAGCAAACCAAGCCCCCCCCCATTGGTTGGAAACCCCCTCCTTGTTAGTATTAACTTTATATTCTTATTAGCCTTATATTATCAACTCACACAATCTAAAGTTAGAAATGAACTTCTCAATAGGGTAAAGCATTGGCTTAAACTAAATATTGGGTTTTTTCCTCCCCACATTTCAATGTACAGAAACTGCAGAGCAACGACAGTAGGTCTTTTCTGCCCCCTCTTTGCACTGCTTGTGTTCCACAGTTGAAAACCACCTTGTCTTTCTCTCTGGGTTGGCACTTTTTTGTGTGTGCCTGACACACACAAAGCACAATTTAGCAGGAGAAAATTTTTAAGCCAGGATACACTTTCATTGCAGAATTTCTGTGCCTCTCAGACTACTGTTACAGGTACAGAAGTAGAGTCAGAAAAGCAGGCAGCAGCCCTAAGCCCCACCAGTCGTTTGCCCTCCTGCCGGCCAGATCCTCACTCCCTGGCAGCATTGCCCCTGCCAGGTCTCATTGCCAACGGAAATCCCCCCTGCTGAAATCCCCTTTTCTAGGCAATCATAAACAGTGCAAGAGCCTTGCCTCTTTTGCACCTGACCACTTGAGGATTGATTGATTGGTTGCATTTCTATCCCACCTTTCCTCCAGCAAGCTCACGGTGGCGTACATATTTCTGATCCCCATTTTATCTTCTCAACAACCCTGTGAAATAGGTTAGGCTGAGAGTGAGTGACTGGCCCAAGGTCACCCAATGAGCTTCATGGCTGAGTGGAGATTTGAACCCTGGTCACCCAGGTCCTATCAAGACACCCTAACCGCTACACCACACTGCCTCTCACTGAGGAGTCTCATCAACCCACATCCCTCTCAACTCCATTTTCAGACTCTGGCTTCTCAGTGTGGCTTTCAGAGCTGGCCCTAGAACCCAGAAATCCTGGTTCCCAGCTCACTTGGCAATAACTCATTGGAGCAGAGGCCAGGCAGTCTGGCTTGTCTGTGCCCAGCCAGCTGATCTGCTGTCCTCCACTTTCTCTCTTCTCTACCAGTTTGCACTAGGACCCTGGGGTCCTGGCTTGCACACCCTCCCTCAACCCTCCAGCTCTCAGCCATCTTTTGGAACTCAGGAACGCTTCTTATGAGAACTCTCTGCTCTCACCTGCCAGTAATACCCCATGCCCCTCATGCAAGTTGGGGGCTTCTTGTGTGCGGATCAGCCTAGCAGCCCCTTCCCAAGGCAAACCTACTCTGCTGGCTAACCTTCCCTGCGAATGTTGCAGATAGAAAGCAGGAACCCAAGCAAACTTTGTACTCCATTTCCCTTGAAGGTGTGTTTTTGAGGTGCGGAAGGGACTCCTCTCTAAGCTGAAGCATCCCCACTTTCTGTGCAATGGTTGGTTGAGTCCTTAGGAGCACTCTAAGCCATTAAATTTCCCCCTTCCTACTAAGATGTGCTCTGAACATCTGAGCCATCTGCCTAAACAGAGCTGCCAAAAACTTTGCTCCCAATAAGCTGTCTTGCTCTAAACCAATGCTGGTGCTTTGTAACCCATTGCAACCTAGCTGGTTCAGGGAATCTCTACTTACAACCGGGAAAGAAACCATGGAGAACCACTGCCAGTCGGTTTAGATAGCCCTGGACTAGGTGGACCAAGGACCTGACTCAGTATAGGGCAGCTTCCTATGTTCACATAAGAGCTTAGGCAGAGTCCCAATTCCCTGCACACACAAAACACGCGCCTTACAAAGCTTGGGCTTCCTTTTATTCTAGACTGCCATAGCTAACTTTCCTTCTGACATACAACCCACAGCTGCTGGGTCTCAACACCCCACTGCTATGGCTTTCTAGGGCCCTTCAAACACAACATAGGAAGCATACTCCTGGACTGGGCCAATGGTCCATCTAGTGCATCATCCCATTCTCACAGTGGGCAACCAGATACTCATGGAAATCCCACAGACAGGACCTAAGTGCAACAGTGCTCTTCCCACTTGTGATTGCCCAGCAACTGGCATTCAGAGCCATGCTGCCTCTGACAAGCTACTGACAAGCCTTCTGGAAATGTCCTCTTCCTGCTTTATAACTCAGGAAACCTCACTTAGATAGGGATGGAGCTTGAAAATTCTGGGTCAAAACAAAGTCCTTCCCACCCTCACCCAGAGCTGAGAACAGAACCCAGGAGCCCTGGCTCTCACCTGCTCCAGCTTACCTTTCCTTTCCAAAGCTGGGGCTTCAAATTTATTGCTCCACACCCCTCCATGGGCACAGGAGCCAATCCTACTCCTTCTTAAATGCATCCCAGTCCTGCTGTTGCTCTAAACCACTTGGCAACACTATCCTCCCCAAGCTAAAATAAGATTGTTTCCCCTACCTGATTTCTTGGGAGTAGGAATAAGTCAGCTATGGAGAGTTTAAGCTTTCAGAAGTGCCCTAAGTTGCTCTGTCCCACTCCTCAGTTCACTCCAGCCAGAATCCAGGGGTCCTGCCTGCCTCAGCTCTGACAATGCTCTTTCTCCTCCAAAGGGCACCCCCCGACTTTTGGAGCAGAGAGCAGGACCCAGGAGCCTTGGCTCCTCAGAGCCCTCCTTCTTCAACCTTCTGGTTGCTTGTTCGTGCTTGCTGTTTTGGAGTTAGCCCAGGGCTGCTTCCAAAGACTTGGGAAACATTGCTCCCTGGTGACTCCCCTGAAGCCAGATACAAGCAATTGCCCAGCTGAGCACCAGGTTGGCTAAGCTAGAGAGCCTTTTTCTCCAAGCCAGATTCCCCGAAGCCTATAGCTGAGTCACATGAATCTTTCAGTTTAAAATCAGGCTTCCAGATATTCCTCCCGGTTTCCTCTCCAGGAAGCTACCTTGAAGCATACTGCAAAGGTGGGTGGTCAGGATTCTCACAGCTGAGTATCAGGCTCCAGGCAAGCTTTCAGGTAGCCTCCTCACTGCCTTCTCACTTCACTGGGACTCTCCTGGGAGGTCATAAATCTTTCGGCTGAGCATCACGCTTGCAAAAGACTTCCTGGTATCCCCCTGGCTTGCTGACAGCTTTGTGAAGCCAGTTGCTCACCTGGGAGGGCAGGAATGTTCCAGCTGAGCTCGGGCACCTAACCTGCCCCAGGTCAGGTTTCTCAAAGCTGGAAGGTATTAAATAAAATCCCAACTAAGCACCAGGCTTAGGGCAGCTCATTGTGTAGTTCAGTAAAGCCTTTGCTCATCTAGGAGGTCAGGCAAGCCCCTTCCTCTCTGGCGATCTCCTAGCTGAATGTTAGGCTTGGGGCTGACTTTCAGATATCTTCCGTGCTCCTTGTCAGCTTCCTTGAAAACTGGTACTCATCTGGGAGGATGGGGTGGCAACAGTGCACCTGAACACCCAACTCCAAGAAGACTTCCAGGGTCCATTTGCTCATCAACAGATTCTTACATGCATCCCATTCAGCTAGGAGGGGAAGAATTTTCTTCCGGAGAGGTTGCTACCTTTCTCTCCGATGACTACACAGAACATTATGCTCACCCAGGAAGTGAAAAACCTCCCAAGTGGGAGGATAAGTCTGGGAGGATAAAAACCTCCGAAGTGGGAGGATAAGCTTTTAAAGTAGCCCACTTTTCCTGCCCCAGGTTCATTGAAGCTCACCTAGTCCACACTATAAAAAAAATCCTTCCAGTAGCACCTTAGAGACCAACTAAGTTTTTTGTGTGCATGCACACAAAAGCTCATACCAATAACAAACTTAGTTGGTCTCTAAGGTGCTACTGGAAGGAATTTTTTTATTTTGTTTCAACTATGGCAGACCAACACGGCTACCTACCTGTAACTACTCCACACTAACTTTGTTGAAGCAAGCCAGTGTTTTGCCAGGGAATCGGAGATCTCTTGACTGGGATAGCTTGATTCGTTAGAGCGTGGTGCTGATAACACCAAGGTTGCAGGTTTGATCCTTGTATGGGACAACTGCATGATCCTCAGGGTCCCTTGCAACTCTACAGTTCTATGATTCTATGAACCAGGCTTGGTCCAAGCTTTCAGGTGAAGCTCTTTCCACCCCCAAGAGCTTCCATAAGGTTAAATGTGTAATGGAGAGGAGGGAAGCACTTAGGGTAGGGCAAGATGGCAAATAACTCCATCTGAGAAGGCCTCTTGCTCTGCTTAGTGGCAGGGAGCTTCCCTCAGTACTTGGATCAGGTTCACATGCATCTGCTCTCACTGAAGCATTCACATGCCAAGTTTCTGGTAAGTAAACCAGACACTCCTTGCTTATCTCCAGGGAAGCTGATGGGATGGATCTAGGCTACCCTTTCCGCCTGCTCCAACTGACTGACATTAAGCTGGTGCCGGATTTGGAGATGCCCAGCTGAAGGGTGGAGGCAAGCAAGCCTTACAGTTCAGTCTCAGCTGGGAGGCCTGAATATCAATACAAGACACCTGAAACACAAATATTTATTTATCACGTTTATACCTTACATTTTATCCGAGGTTGGAAGCCCACTGAGAGATGCTAGTCCACGTTCCTAGGCTTGTTTTCAGTCACCCTGTGCCTGGAGACAGGGATTGATTTCGGAAATTCCCTTCCTCTGGCTTATCTATATTTCGATCTTTCCAGAGCCCCAAAGTATTATTTATTGAGTTATAATGCTACTTACCTGCCCTTCACCTTAAGGTCCCAATGCGGGTGAAAACAAAAAGATACGCACTTCTAAAACAGATAAAACCATTACAATGATAAAACAGGTAAGACAAAAACATCAAGCAAAATGGAACAATATAAATCCCACAAAAAGGTGAGTCATAGAACCATAGAATTGTAGAGCTGGGTCCCTCAAAACAAAATACTTTAAGTGTAAAGATGCTGGATGTATTTCTGTGCGGAGCGAGTTCCAAAATACACATAATCAAACCTTTTCTTACCCAACCAAAGTCTGGAGTTGATTGAAGCAAGTGGTCCTTTGCTACTGACCTGCCACCTGTTTCCCTTTGGATGTCATTTCTGTTCTAATGGGGGCTTCAGAGATTTTCCCCCTAATCATGCTCTCAGAAAAGAAGCCAAAAAAAGAAATTACAGTTATGACGTCCTTGGAGCTGACATGAAGTTCTGAAATAATTTTTTTAGCATGGTTGAGTGAGGCCTAGGGGCTATAATTGGGATCCAAAACTGGTCATATGAAACATTCATCCGCACACAACTTCCCCTCCCCACCCCCAGTTGTTTGTGTTGACTTGTTGACTTGTTTTCAAAATCCAGGCATTTATTTCCTGAGATACATATGGCTGTGAAATAGCAAAAATTGTTGCAGTTAACCTTGCCAAGGAAAAACTCCAGCCATTTGTTTTCACTTACTTACCTAATTCTTAATTAATTAAGGATCTATTAATTATCAGTTAATTAAACTTAATCATGTTTCTCTCTATGCTGCAATGAGCTAGGCCATGGTTTGGCTTAATCTTACGCGCGAACCCGAACCACCTTGATTTATAAGATATAAAGATATTAAACAATGAAACTTTTGCCTACACACAACTTCCCTTTCTCCCCGCTCTTATTTGTTTGTGTTGACTTGTTTTCTTGTTTTCAAAATCCAGACTTTCAGTTGCTATGAAGTAGCAAAATTTGGAGTTAACCTGGCCAAGGAAAAGAATTCCAACCATTTGTTTCTACTTGCTAACATGCTTCTTAATTAAACCAATCATTTATTAGTTACCAGTTAATTAAATTTACCACCTTTCTCACAGGGCACTGATTGTGCCTCTTTCTCAGTAGCTGCCACTAAGAAAAGCTGCTACACAGGCTTGCGGCATTATAACAAAGCAAGGCCTACAACTCTGCCACAGAGGTTGTTTAACATTTCTTCATTATAAACATATATGCAGAGCTTTGTCACTGAGTCAAAAATATCCTCCATTATTGCTTTGCAACCAATGGGAGTTGCATGTGTTTTAAGTGCTTTGTGGTGTTCTGTGGTAGCAGTCTTCTGCCTTCCAGATGTTGCTGGATTGTAACTCCTATCACCCTTCTCATGCTGGCTTGGGATGATGGAAAATGCCAGTCAGTAAGGAGAGGGCTGTGGGGTTTTATTTGGAAGTCTCTGATGGGATTAAAAAACCCCACACGTTTTAAAACCAGCTTTCTTTAACCTGGTGCCATCCAGTTGGTTTTGGCACCTGTGGAAAGTATGGAAACTTCCTGGTAGTTGTGAATATAAGGAATGATATCCCTTAAATAGTAACTAATTGGCACTTGGCAGAATACAATCTTCCTTTGGGGCATTTTTGAGGGCTCAAAGGACAGTGATTCCCACCACTGCATTGGTGGGACTAGAAACTGAGAAATGCAAAGAGTGATAGCAGAGAAATGCTCAAGCTAAGTTTGCTTCCTGAAGCTGAATACAGTGGTACCTCGGGTTAAGTACTTAATTTGTTCCGGAGGGCAGTTCTTAATCTGAAACTGTTCTTAACCCGAAGCACCACTTTAGCTAATGGGGCCTCCTCCTGCCGCCGCTCCGCTAGAGCACGATTTCTGTTCTCATCCTAAAGCAAAGTTCTTAACCCGAGGTACTATTTCTGGGTTAGCGGAGTCTGTAACTTGAAGCGTATGTAACCTGAAGCGTATGTAACCTGAGGTATCACTGTATCATAGTTTTACTCCCTTTGCATTGTCCCAAATGATCACCAAGTGTTCTGCAGGTGAGGGCCGCCTGCAGAGACAATTTTATTTGGAGATTCATTCCATACAATATAAAAATGGGCCATTTGTGAGGTCATATCTACCCTTTGGACTTTCTTTCCATTACATATTATGATAGGGCACCCAAGGACTTTCTTCTTTCAATAAGCCTTTTAAGTAGAAAGGTTTATCCAAGGCTTCATGTGTGTTGGAAATGTCCCATCAGGTGAAACAAATTGTGGGTTTGTTTTCTTTTTGCACCACAACAGGAGCCTGTCAAGGCTTCATCCCAGTAGTAAAGGTGGCATAAATTTACAAAACAAGAGTGAAGGCTTTTAAAAACATCTTTCTCTCCTCTAGTATCTGGCTTCCTCTGAGTCATGGATGAGCCTGAAGGGCCAAAGGGGTTTAGGGAAAAGGTGAGCTTTGAGAAAGCCTTTGAAGGAACAGATAGAAGTGGCTCTGTGTAAGAGTCTAGGCAATCCAAGATGTAAGTAAAGGGGGAGGATGTCATTGAAATTCTACTCAATATGATCCAGAGCAGAACTCTGACGTATAGTTAGCAGAGCAAAACCTTAAACATGGTGCAGGATTCCCAAAAAATAGACCAGAGACGATGAATATTTCATCCAGCAGAGCTTTACTACTACTGAAGGCAAATGAGCGTAATGGTCGCAAATCCAATACATTCAGGCTTGGCACTGACCATAAGAAATCCAGTAGCAACAGACTTGACTTAAACTTACAATAACTTGTAATAAGTCTAAGCCTTAACACTAAACACATGTACAGAACCCCATACTGTCCTAGGAGGAAAAGAGATAGAAAGTGAAAGTGAAACCTAGGGTCCTTCTGGTCTATTTTTATAGTCAGCATGACCCTGACAGAAAGAGATAAGAGAACCAGTTTAAGCCAGCTATACTGAGCCCTGCTTTGGCTGGGGAGGGCGGGATATAAATAAATTATTATTGTTATTATTGTTATTATTATTATCTGAAGGTATAACCCAAACATTATGAACCTTCCACTTGCTTCTTTCACACAGAGAAGCTTCCAGAACCCTCTTGAATTAATTAGAATAGGAAAGATCTCTACACATCAGATCAATACTTTCTGCACTAAGAAATGCAAACTGGCAGAGGAAACTATGGTCCTCCAGAGGTTGTTGGACTACAAAACCCATCATCCTCGACCATTTGTTATTTTGGCTGCTACTGCTGGGTCCAACGACACCTGGAGTCTTCAGGTTCCTCTGCCACTGATTTTATGGGAATGAAGGACAACAGGCAGAATTTTCAAAAGAGGATGAAATTCCTTCCTGAAAGTATGTGAAGGAGGAACAAAAGCAAACAAAAACCTTCAGAAGACGATTTTCTTTATTTGTGTTTTTATTATTGTCTAGTAAATATATTTATGACCACAAAACATGCAATACAGTATATGAAAATAGCAGAAATGTCCTCAGTGCTAGTCGTGGGTCTCATGAAGAACACAGTAGTGGTAGGTGGGTCATAAAATTGGTTTGTTTAAGTATATGGAAAGAGTTATAGGGTGTTTATTTACTGTACATAAGTGGATCTGACTATAATAGAACAGGTCAGAGACTCTCATGGCTTCCTGAGGCTGGAAGCCTGCTAGTGAAGCAGGGACATTGGATGAACAGGCACAGAATAGGATTTCACATGGGGTGGAGAGGAGGCCTGAAGCTCTGAAATGGGGAGGTTGCAATGGAAGTAAGGACTGAAGGTACTCAGTGTAGCTCAAGACACTAAGGCTGAAGCCCTATGCACGCTGAGTTCATCCCATTGAATTCAGTAGGATTTACTTCTAAGTCGACATGCCAAAGCACCTTTCTCAAGGCCTGTGTCTGCCTCCATGCTTTACAATCGCAGGTTGGGTGGGAGAACTGGTTCCGCTCTCCTTGACTGTGGAAATCAGATATCTAGGGAGTGCAGTGCTCTAGGCTTTAGCAAAATTGCCTCTCTCACATGACAAATCCCTGAGTGGACAGGGCTTCATATCTACTTGCCAGGGAAGAACTTGGGCTGTTAGAGAGAAACGTAAGGTGTTTATACTGGAGATGGAGTCCTGTCTCCAGCCAGTGACTTCTTCTTTGCACCTCCCATGGTGTAGGGCAAGCTCCCAGGAAGATGCTTCTAGGCCACTCGTTGGATCACATTCTTATAGTCAGGGCCTGGTGGCTGCTTCTTCAGCTGCAGCATCCTAGAGAAGAGCCATTTTACCTGTGGGAAGGAGTGGGGGTGGGGATAAAGAAAGACGTAGAACAGACATGAGCATGGAAGAATAATAATATGCAAATTATATTTATTATTAGTGACCAATCAGATGCCCCTGTTGGAAGCCTCAAAGCAGGACTTGAAGGTGCTATACTCACAAGTTGTTCTAGGAGGCATGCTGCCTTCAACAATGGAAGTAAAACATTGTCTTTGCGGGTATTAGTCAGTCTTAACCTTATCCATTAATTTGTCTAACCCTCTTTTAAAGCTTTCCAAGCTGAATGGCCAACATTGCCTCTTGGGGGAGCAAATTCCACTGTTTAACTATGAAGAAGTACGTCCTTTTGGCAATGTATAATAAAATCTTTCCTTGTCATCTTTTCCCCATCCTCCTATTCCTCAACTTGTATTGCCAACCAACAAGTCAAATCTTTTTCTTCATCCATTCTTCTGATTTTAATGGACTGTTTGACACAGTGTAAAGGTATATGCTAAGTCCTCCACAGAACCATTCACTAATTTACGATAAACCGTACTAATATTTCAGCCTTATCCTAGGACCCTCGTACCTACGGGACCGCCTCTCCTGGTATGCCCCGGGGAGGACCTTAAGGTCCACAAATAACAACACTTTGGAGGTCCCGAGCCACAAGGTGGTTAGATTGGTCTCAACTAGGGCCAGGGCCTTTTCAGTACTGGTCCCGACTTGGTGGAACGCTCTGTCACAAGAGACCAGGGCCCTGCGGGATTTGACATCTTTCCGCAGGGCCTACAAGACGGAGCTGTTATACCTGGCCTTTGGTTTGGACTCAGTCTGACCCTTATGTTTCCCTCCCCTTATGGTTTTGATTTATGGGCTACTACTAAAATGAGACTGCATTTTAAATTGTATTTTAACCCGTAATTTAATTAACTTTTTTTTCCTATTACATTTTATTGTAATTTTATTGGTGTTAGCCGCCCTGAGCCCGGTTCTGGCCAGGGAGGGCGGGGTATAAATAATTTTTTTATTTTTTTTTTTTATTATTTTGTCTCTCCCCCCCCATCTCTGCAGTGTTTATGTAAGATGCAAGTGTGGATATGTAGTATCGCTTCTCCTCTACTCACTTTGAACAGTGTCACGGTGGCACTATAGCAAACACTGAGGATGAAGAGCAGGAAGAAAACAAAGATGGTCACCCACAAGTTATCCAGTTCCTCCTTTTTCTCATCACTATAATCAGCATCTGCTGACACAGTCGTCTCTGTGAGGGAAGAAAGAGATGTCATTTCCAGTGTTCAACATAAAATATCCCATAACTTCAGCCTTTCCTTCACCCACCACTCATATTTCTACACTTTGTCATCAACCCATGGTGCAAGAATCCAAAGGCATCTGTTTCTAAATTTGACTGTCATTGTAGTAATTGCAGATGCAGGTAGGGATGTAGGAAACCCACATGGTAGGAATTCTGTCACGGTGCAATTCCACTATGACAATTCCTTACTTAAAGCCAGGCTATGGGTTGCCATTTAAAAATTCACATTGCCCAGTGGATTCTATCTGCTACCATTTGTCCTGCCCTTAATGATATAAATGATAGAATTATGTTGAATCATGGGTTCTGTACTACTGTTAAAAGGTAAAGGGACCCCTGACCATTAGGTCCAGTCGTGGCCGACTCTGGGGTTGCGGCGCTCATCTCGCTTTATTAGCCGAGGGAGCCGGCGTACAGCTTCCGGGTCACGTGGCCAGCATGACTAAGCCGCTTCTTGCGAACCAGAGCAGCGCACGGAAACGCTGTTTACCTTCCCGCTAGAGCGGTACCTATTTATCTACTTGCACTTTGATGTGCTTTCGAACTGCTAGGTTGGCAGGAGCAGGGACTGAGCAACGGGAGCTCACCCCGTCGCGGGGATTCGAACCCCCGACTTTCTGATCAGCAAGTCCTAGGCTCTGTGGTTTAACCCACAGTGCCACCCACGTACTTCCATTACTATTATTCCTCCTTTTTCTTTAAACTTTAATAAATATATTTTAAAACAAAAACAAAATCCATTATACACAAACTTCACACCTGCAAGATCATCTATGGCTTCTATAACAATTAATATTATCTAAATTTTGGATTAGTGGCTTGGTGTAGGATCTTTGGGAACCCTCTCTGTTCTCCCCATGTAATGTTTGTGCCTAGTCCTACAGAGTAACTTCACTCTGTTGGGAGAGCTCTCCTTCTCCCTTTTCCGGCACTCTGCCTAAAGGACCAGTTCATCCAATTCTTATCAGCTTGTTTCTGATAAACTTGTTGTGCAAAGTGATTTAGAAAGGCCACACAGTGAGCTTCATGGCTGAGGAGTGATTTGAATCTGGAGTTCTAAGCCCCAAACCGAATGCTAATGAGTGCACTAAGCAGACCACCTGCTAACATTGAAGCAAGGAGTAACCAGGGAGTAGGTGTGGGAAGGAAGTTGTAGATGGCTGAGGCCACACCCTGGCAGCCCATGGGGTCTCTTCTAAATATGGGGTCTCTTCTAATTCTGATGAGAGAGGTAGGACATTCTGTAATGTCTTCTGTTACTCTCTTCCTTTGTTTCACTGGACGCAAACACTTTTATCTAATACTGGGTTCACTGGGTTAACTTGCCAGTACCACAATTTTAGATCCACCATCTTCAAAAACTGTCAAGAAGTGCCAGTATGTCAAATATTTGTTGGCTCTGATGTTGGCTCTAGCCATTTATATGAATGTGCATATAAATTTGCATTTTTCTTTGCATGAGGGCTTGTGTTTGTCTCTACAGTGGTACCTTGGTTCTTGAATGTAATCTGTTCCGGAAGTCCATTTGACTTCCAAAATGTTCGAAAACCAAGGCGCAGCTTCCGATTGGTGCAGGTGCCCAGAAACAATAGCTGACAGCTGCACTGGATGTTCGGCTTCCGAAGAATGTTCAAAAACCGGAACACTTACTTCTGGGTTTTCGATGTTTGGGAGCTGATTTGTTCATCAAGCCGTTTGAGAACCAGTATTCCACTGTACATTCATTGCTGTCCTTTGCTTGTGGCAGTGATTTCTTCCATCTATTCTATTGAACTCCTGCCTGCTCACGTCTCCATCCTTCCAGTGTTATCAGCAGGGAAATTCTTACACAAGCCGAGAGAAAAATGGGAGTCTTGCAGCATAACTAGAGCAGGAGCAGTTGAGTGGAGACCTTGGCACTTGTAGTTTCCAAAAGCAGGAATGTCTGGGCTCGAGTGTGCTTGGACAGTTGATTTTCTTCCGTCATTGATTTTCAAGATCATCATCCAAAATGTGAAACTTTGAGTCAGCTCATCATTTTTTGTGTTTGATTGGGTAGTTATGAGCGGATCTCTACCTCTTTGGAGAACGTATCCCCACTCTGCAACTTTGGGCACTGCCATGCACACCATGCAAACTCCTTCCCTAACGTATCTCTCTCATATCCTCATCTGACAAAAGTACAGTGGTACCTTGGTTGTCGGAGCTTTCTGCTGTCAATCGGGAGCCATGGAAGCCACGTCAGATGTTCGGCTTTTGAAAAACGTTTGCAAACCGGAACACTCACTTCCGGGTTTGCGGCGTTCGGGAGCCGATTTGTTTGGGAGCCAAGGCGTTCGACAACCAAGGTACCACTGTATGACTAATCCATTCATGTGGCCTGAATATTTTGTGAATCTTTCATGGCTCCTCATCCATCTGTCCTATGAACCCATCTATCCAGGCTTGGCTCAGTTTGCTCGCCCATCTCAGTCATATTTAGAGTCAAACTAAGTTTATTATCACTATTACTGTTATTATTATAGTGATTTATTTATATCATGTCTTTCCCCCAGGCCTGGACTCAAGGCAGCTTTTAAAACAACATCGATAAAACACAATGTTAGGTTAAATGTGTTATTTGAATTTGACATATTTCTGTTTTTACGTAGTAGATAGCCAACTTTGAGGGCCAAGTTTTGTTAAGGATCCTGGTGCAAAGGGAGGTAATTTTATATGCAGTCCTGATGAACATTATCATTCCTTGTGGCTGTAATTTGTCATAAGCTTCTATAAATACCATGGTAAGGGGTTGTGAAGGAGGAAACTTCTTTTTGTGCACCACAGCCCCCCCCCCCCAAATGCCCCACTCAACAAGGTATCACTTTTAGCTTGGCCCTCAGAAATTATTCACTGTTTTTCAGGCAATGCAGGTATTGTGCATTCTTTGCTCTCTCACTGAAATGCACAACAATCCAGACAATGTGAATTGATGGGGGTGGGAGGGTATATGTTTCAATGGTGAGTGTGCATGTCTGTTGCACCAGACGACGGCTGACTATTTTCTGGCCCTATGAGTACTTTGCTGCTGCTCTCCATTGAGCTAACTTCCCACAGGATGCTTTGCCTACACCTGTGCTTCCACCTCCATCCAGATAAGCTCTGTACCTCATATTGGACTGAGGTTCTAGCTCTGAGGTAGAGAGTGTACTTTGCATCAGTTGCACTCAATACTAGTCCTTCTCAGAGCAGACCTGTTTTAATTAATGGCCCTAAGTTAGTCATATTCATTAATCCCAATGGGTCTGCTCTGAGCATGTGAACAGGCGCAACCTTGATGAAGGATCTTGTCTAAGCACGTCCAACAGTGGCTGGTCTGGTGCCACACGACCTTTGCCCTCCACTGTCAGTTTGTCTTCTGCAATTGGCATTCAGAAGCACAGTACCTCTGAAAAGGAGGATTTCAAATAGTGATCACAGCCAACAACTGCAATGAGATCTATGCATTTGTCTCAGCTTCTCTTAACTGCTTCTATAAGAACATTTAAGGGGAGCTTGAAGAGCTTGTCAGAGTGACATGCATTAGGCTGAGAAGGAGGGCAGATGAGGCTCAATAAAAGTCAGCTTCTCACATCTTGTAAGATATTTCCTGATTTGGGGAAGACGGAGAAGGGCATTGCAAAATAATTTCCCACTGATCTTCTAATATGGGCAGGTCTCTCCATATTATATGTATATTTTCATATCAAGAAGGCAAAATTAGCAGACGAGGCTTTGGCTTTGATTTTGGGTGAATGTTTCAGATTTAAAATTATCATTATCATTACTATTGGTATATGTTTAAAAATGCATTTAGCTCTTGTTTCTCTACAATCATGTCCGCCATTCCCCAGCCTTTTTATTTTCACTCCCTTGTTTTATATATATGGGTTCATGTTTTCCCCACATATGCTGCAATGTATCTAAATCTGTCGCCTCTGTATGAGCTACTTGAGCCTTGTTAGCATCTTGGGCCTGCTTTATTTTCTGCTCGCCTTGCTCTGTTGCTGCTTCTTCTTTGCTTGTTTATACTGTCCTTTACAGCCTCTTTTCCTGCTGTATATTATATATCAGCTTCTAATACACAGAACACTGAGTTATAATACTGTTTCTGCGCCTGCAGTGAACACTGCAGCCTCTGCCATGATTGGATAGTTTGAACAACAATTCCATTCAGGAGCTGAGACCTGGTGGGGCAGTTGAGGCCGTGGCAAAGCTACTGATGGTGGTGGTGGTAATGGGGTTGAGGGGGATCTGTAACAGAATCTTTGTGGGAGAGACGGGTACATAAATATTCCTCTTTAATGTTACAACAGCCTCTTTGTTGTTTAAACGTTAAAAGGAGAGCAAATTCCTGTGTGTGGACATGTGTAGATGGAAGTCAGGGTGGAGCAAATGACAGGATGCTGGACTTGAGTCCGGTGGAAGGTGACCCAGATTCAAATCACCACTTAACTAGATGAAGCTCACTGGGTGTCTTTGGACCAAATCACTCTCACTTCTGGGACATAGCAAGGGCCTGTTGTGAGCAGTAAAACTACACATATACTGACCTTTGCAACTTCCCTGCTCCCCATGGCATAGCTCTGATAATGGCGAATACATTTTGCTTCCAATATCATGAAGACCCCCTTAATCCATTCTCTCCTTGCTTTCCAGAACACACCCACCCCACCCCAGTCATTGATTCCCCTGCAAATGACCACAACATGGGATATATCTGAGTTGGTTCTCTTTTTATTCAGCCACAGGCCAAACACGCATGCATGGAAATTATTTACACAGGGTTTATCTAACAATGCTAGAGGAAAATCTGGGAGAGGCTGAAGAGGTTGCAATGCCGTAGGAGGGATGGTCATCATTTTTTACCCTGGGTTTTCTCCACGGTCCTCTGGGTGAACTTCATGGGGAGGGCTTCGTGGATAACCATACAGGTGTGTGAAACTCCGTTGTTCCAGTCAGCGAATGGGATTTTCATGTGGCTGTATAGAAAGTAGGAGTCGTTCTTGTTGTCCTTTATGACCGGCGTGTTGACATGATGGTCTTCAGGCATGGCATTGTGATTCCTCAGCCACTGGATAGAAACTTCTTTTGGGGTGAATCCTGTGACCAGGCAGGTGAGGGTCAGCATTGGTGGCTGAGCGTTGATTTCCTCGTGGTGAGGGGGGTAGAGGAACACTCCGGGAGGGGTTCTCGTGCCTTTTTGAGAGGAGGGGGCGAAATGTGTGAGAGAAACGGAGGAAGCAACAATTATTAACATTAAGCCAAATTAGTGAATGCAATGTTGAGAATGAGGGTCTTGTAGGGAAAGACTGTGATTTTGTTGTCTTGAACATAGGTACTCCAGACAGGGTCATTGCAGACTGTCCACACACACTTCATAGCAGCATCATGTTCCCAATAATTACCCTAACTGGCCAATTATATTATCTGAACTACATGAGATAGCAGTGATTTAAGATTTCAACAGCCCTGCTTCCCAATATATATACGGATATCATGCAGCACACAGAATCCCAGACTTTACTGAGAAGTTATTGGTATGCTCAAGTTCCTGCAGGGCCGGGGGTCGAAAGGCAAGCATAGTTTAAAATCTTGCAATGCTCATGCAGCAACCTCTGCACAGCAGATACCCAGGTAGCTCCACAATGTGTGAACCGGGCCATCAGGGAAAGGGCATGAAGAACTGCTTTAAACAGAACCGGCTCAATCTTTCATCTAGGTTCAATCAATGCTGGGGAAACAATATCAATAGAGTGGAGATGGCAATAGTCTTATGGGAATGAAAATTGTTATGTGAGAGTCACTGACCCCTGTGGGGGACGCACCCGTCCCTCCCCTTGGTCCAAGAGTTGCCTTCTAATAATAAAAAAAATGCATTGCAGGTCTTTCAAGTACCATAAAAACCTGTGAGCAAAGGGGAATGGTTTTCCAGACCTCCTTTGCCACTGCAAAGTTTGTCTCCAGTGTGAATTGCAGATGAGCCAAGTGGTGTTGTGTGTTTTCAAGCACCATAAAAACCTGTGAGCAGAGACAAGTGTAGAATGATTGTGCAAACCTGCACAATACCCCCACCAGACTGTGTGAAATTGCAAAGTGTGTCTGCAGTGTAGATTGCAGATGAGCCAAGTGGTGCTGTGTGTTTAAGTATTCTCTTTCCTGCTGGAACACAAGGAAACCAGCCCCATGATGGGAGACCAACTCTGTTCCCCCCCTTACCTGTTGTCTTGGCAATGGTCTTAGTGATGGGAGCAGTCAAGCCTGGATATTCCACATTGCAGGTGAATTTCTCACCCTGCAGCCACGTGGTGACAGGGAGGGAGCTGGTAGCAGTGAACCTTCCATTACGTTCTTCTTTCACTTCCAGTAGTTCTGGGCTCACGGGTCCAGAATCCGCTCGTGACCAGGTGACTTTCAGCCCATCTGCGTTTTCCAGATTCTCCACCACACAAGTGAGCTTGGGGTCATTGTTTACATACAGGTCTTGTGGCGTTGGGGGTATGATGTGCACATTAATGCCGCTGGAGGGGCATTCAGCATTATCTGGAGACGCAAATTTCATGTTAGTTCTCTAACCACCCCCCACTTCTCTGCTGTTTTAGGGGCTTGCCACTTCTTGCGGCAGAGTAGAAATGGAAAACAGCAACACTATCAGTAAGGTAATGTGGACATGGTAGGCAGTGGGCAAAGCCTTATTTCAATGGGCCTTAATTGAAAGCAGCTATATAGACATGAATTAGGGAGGAGGCTGTCTTGAAATTATTATCACATACATGAGAGGATTCTCAATAATCTGGAAGCAGTTGTCCTCCTCTCCCTTGCATTCCAGTCCATGCCCACCAAAACAGAGGAAAACACAAGTGCCAGCTCAGTCAACCTTTCCTACCTTCACATATCTTCGCTTTGCTTTTCACTTTGGTTTGGGTTTCTTCGTGGAACACCTGGCAGTAGTAGGTATTCCCAGCCTGCCAGTCTTCTTGGCTGACGTTGACTGTGCTTGTGGTGCTGAAGGTGTATCCGTGGGCATCTTTCCTGGGCTGCTCAGTGAATGAAGCTAGGAGCCCAGCTTGCCCACCCACCAGCCATTCCACTGTCAGCATTTTGGGGTAAAAGCTAGAGATCACACACATCAGCTCAATGGTGGCATCACTGGATCTGGGTTTGCAGGAGGAATGGAGCAGGCGGACTTCTGGGGCCACTGGAGGTAGTGCAATAGAGCCTGGAAGGATATAATTTATGAGAGGTAGGGATGGGTGAAATTGTCAGTTTCGGTTTCCTCTTAGTTTCTTATTCTCCCAGTTCTCCACATCAGTTTGCAACTATTTTAAAAAACAAGGTCTTACTCATGTGCATTTTAATCCAAATTTCTCCTAACATACAAACCTTTGTATGCAATTTTGCATAACATAAACATTTTTGCTAAGCAGTGCTCTCAATATGATGGATTTTTACATTATTCATATCATATATTGGTGTGGGGGCACAATTCCCCCTAGTTGATGCATTTTTGTACATACTACTTGGCTGGAGAACTGCTTTGCAAAATCCAGAGAAGGACAGATTTGATAGGACGCCACTTGTCTACTTGTCTACCACTCAGCGTAAGCCCTGAGACCCAAGCAGAGGAATCCGCTTAGTTAGAAGACTGGAGGGTGAGTGGCCACTGGTTCATCTGCCACTGACATCTTTTGGTTCTCCTATTACTATTCTTCCCTCCTTTTGATATCATGATCCCAATGTTTTGAACACTCACTCAGAAATGCACTGTTTTCCTACTTTGTATCCCTGTTCAAAGCTTGCCTCACCCCTGTAGCTATCATGCTTTGCCTTGCCTGCTTCAGCACAAAGGATAGCACAAGGTGATCAATCCTAGCCATTCCTTCCATCATTACAAGTTATTGGGCCTCAGGAATATCCACCCCCACCCCCATTTCTTAATTCACTTCACTCCTTCTACAGCTTGACAGCTCATATAAGATATTAAAGGTGGGGGTCATGAATGCCCACGGCAGCAAACACGGTGTATACACTACTAATATTTGTAACTTTGTTCCCAGAATAAAGCAGCAATAAACAAAATTTAAAAATAAATAGCCACGAATCATTGTAAATTCAACAACCAAACCTTGAAATGTATTCAAAAAAGTTGCCTCTGAGTGTTTCTTCAACTTGTCCCTGACTACTGAACCTGCCTTTTCCTTACCTCACGTCTGGTACTGAATGAGCAATTCCAAGCTTTCTCTCTCTGTCCCCCAACCCCCACATTTCAGTTGTAAGCCATGTTGGGCAGAGACCATTTCTTGCGCTGCCTGCTTAATGTGCCTTGGTACCAGACAATAAAGTAAAGGTAAAGGGACCCCTGACCACTAGGTCCAGTCGTGACCGACTCTGGGGTTGCGGCACTCATCTCACTTTACTGGCCGAGGGAGCCGGCGTACAGCTTCCAGGTCATGTGGCCAGCATGACTAAGCCGTTTCTAGCGAACCAGAGCAGCACACGGAAACGCCGTTTACCTTCCCGCTGGAGCGGTACCTATTTATCTACTTGCACTTTGAGGTGCTTTCGAACTGCTAGGTTGGCAGGAGCTGGGACTGAGCAACGGGAGCTCACCCCATTGCAGGGATTTGAACCACTGACCTTCTGATTGGCAAGTCCTAGGCTCTGTGGTTTAACCCACAGCGCCACCCACGTCCCTTACCAGACAATAGCGGCACCCAAAAATATTGCATCTATTCCCCAACTCTCTCCACCAAAGTATTTCGCTTTCCTTTCTTTCACCATATTGAGTGTCCATTTGAGGGTCAAAAAGAAAGCAGATAACAATGGCCCAGCCAGACTCACGCTCAATCTCCTTGGTGATTTCAGAGCCGGTAGCTGCATGTGTGACATTGCATTGGAACTTCTCCGATTCCCAGGTGCTGGTTGGGATGGTGAGCTGGCTGGTGAGAGTGTAGAGGCCCCTGGATGAATCCAATAGTGCAGGGAAGGTCCGGATGCCGCTGGAGATGGCTCCTGAATTCCATTGCACTGTGACTGGTTCAGGAAAGTAGCCAGAGACCAGACAACCTATGGAGACCTGGGAGGCAGTAGAGGAGTCTTGGCTACAGGGAGGCAATGGGAAAACCGTTGGGGCTGTGGCACTTGCTGCAATGAAAGAGAAAGACATGTTGAGTATACGCTGTCCAGCCAATGTGGATGCTTGTGTGTTCCTGCAATACAGGGGGTTGGAATAGATGCCCCTTGGGGGTCCCTTCCAATTCTACTTTTCTATGATTCCATCAGCTGAGTGTGGGTTACAGGATCTCATCGTCTCATTTGAGGTAGAGCATTGTCCTGAAAGATTCTCGGGCGTGCCCAAGTTCATGGAGAGTTCTGCCGTTGTCAACCATTTCCAGTCCCGGCTGGATTTAAGAATGCTGGAGGATTGATCTCTGCTATTTGTTAGAGGAAGGGACAAGGAGATATATGTTGTGCTGATGTATCACTTTCAAGCTGATTTTCTCAGCTATAAATGTTCTTTTAAAATAAGCTTAGGATTCTGAATTCTTTGCAGAATACATGCAGCCCTGTTTTAACACCCACTGACAGACCGTTTCTCTCTGAGTTTTCCTAATACTTGACTTATGTCATTCAGCTGCAATTGCGCTGTTATTCAGTGAATAATTAATTTCAACTTTTTGGCCTTAAGTTTGTCAGTTATCTAAACATGCAGGAGACATTTGCATTTTGCATTCTACATTGATTAAAAAGAGAGAGAGATGTGAGCGAATCTTACAGCCATGAGAAGGCAACACCCATTCATGGCTAAGGGGAAGGAATGCTGGAGTATGTGGTTTGGGAAAAGCAATCAGAAGAAAGGGTGTAGTTTTGGCCTTGCTGTCCCTGCATCTGGCTTATGACTAAAGGAAACGGGAAGTTGGCAGGAAAAGGTGGGAAGCCATGGTAGCCTGAGTGCCACGTTCTGCTGCAACCAACCTTCTTGGACCTCGTGCCATTGACAGGCAGAGCCAAAGGCAAAAGCAACACAGGTGAGCAGAGCAACAGATGCAGTTCATACCTTGGTACATTCTACCTGTAGAAAAGTCAGAGGATTCCAATGCACACATCCCCCCATTTCCCCATCCAAGTAAGCAAAAGCTATGATCACAATTCATATTCCAACCAGGCAAAAAAACCATTCAAGATGGTAGGTCTGAGGACGGTTGAGGTGTGGAGCCTTAGGCCAAGATGGTGCTGTTGGACTTCTGCTTGGTGAGAAAAACTTCAGCAGCTTGCAGATTTCCTGCCACAGTGGGAAAAGCATTAGCTATGGAGCTACCCCCTTTTTTTTTTGCCCGGGTGTTACTTCTGAACCAAGGTAACAACCACTTCTCTTTGGTGGCTGATGTACCACTCACCTGAGACCAAGTCGTTAGATTTAAGCCCCTTTCACCTAACTGAAACCAGTGGGGTGAAGAAATCAAGATTTGGATCCTGGCTCAAGATCTGCAGCTGCAGTCCTGTATGCACTTGCCTAGGAACACAGTCACACCCACGCCATCCACTTAAAGTGATCTTACATCACCTTAAAAGTCATGGCTTCCCCCAGAGAATGCTGGGAAGTGTAGCTCTCTGAGGGGTCTCCTAACGGCTCCCAGCACCCTTAACAAACTACAGTGCCCAGGCTTCTTTAGGGGAAGCCATGAAACAGTGGGACGAAAGTGCTTTAAATGTATGGTGTGAATGTGTCATAGCTTCCTTGAACATTGATAGACTTATATCTTGAGCTAGTGCATGTTTCTCACTCTCTCGGGTGGCATTTTTGGCTGGCATTGCCCACATCTCAAAATTCCAGGCCTCCTTTTAGTTGTGCGAGTTCTCTCACTTCCTCTTTGTTCAGCACCAGCTGCAGGTTGCAGGTGTCCTGCTTAGTGCCCCCTCACATACAAATTTGACTGAAACTGGGTAAGGGGACAATCAAAAAGCAGCGGTCAACAGAAGAAGAAAAAATGGAAAGGCAAGCAAACTGTGATTAGAGAATATTTGAACATCATTAGCTGGCAGTAATAATATGAAGGTGAAGCCAAATCAGTTTGTACAGCCAATTGCAACTTGTTTGGAGTTCTAAGTGTGTAAGATCAACTATTCTATGGGATATCAGCAGCTGGTGGTTTACAGGCCCAACCTACTCCACAAATGACAAAACATTGACCTGATAATTTCCTCCTAATGATAAAAGTGGATGTTCAACTATTCAGCTTATGAGTAATAATAATAATAATAATAATAATAATAATAAAATCTAGCCTGAAGAAACCACGAGATTTTATGCCATGGTGGTCAGCATTATTATGACCAGTAGAGATCTAGAGAATCTCTGGATACCTCCCCACCTGAGCTGGACCACTGCTATGCCCTGCTAAATTTTGTACGAAGAAGAGGCTGAGGCTCCAAGTCTGCCTGAAAAAAGACAAAAGGCCTCCCCCCTTAACCTCAGGTATGTGTGGACAGACTGACAAGTCTAAAGGTTAGGGATTTACTTTGAGTCAGCCTCTGACTGTTGCACGCAGAGTAATTTTGCCCTGATGGAGACCTAAAGCCGCAAGTGATTTTGTATTACTTCCTATGGTTGCTGTCACATATTTGGGGCATTTTTTATTAATCACCGCAGCCTGACACACACACATTCAGCAAAGGAAGGTTTCCCTTTTGCTCTTTTCCAATGCCAGGAATAGTTTCCCCTGCTAAATATGTGCACCTCAGGCACAGGAGCACGTGCAGGAAAAATGAGGTGGCAACCCTATATCCCAGCCATTCTGGTGTGGTTCCTTTCCCCTGCCAAGTCCCTTGAGCCTTTAATGTATCCCCAACAGGCAGAAGTTCAGCAGGTGCAGGAGTGGAGAGGGAGTGGTGGGGACAGCTTCACTGCTTGATTTTCTGCCTGCTAGACTACTGCTAAAAGCATGGAAGCTCTGCAAGAAAAAAGCGGCCAATCTGCCCCACTGTGTTACCTGCAAGTGCACTCTGCTAACCCAATCTGATAGAACCTCAACTCCCACCACGACCTCCTTCCCCAATATGTCGCAGTTTCCTTCCAAAATGTGGATAGAATTAGAGTAGTCAATAGCTGTTTTTTCTTGCTTTCTACCAAGCCATTGGCAATAGCTTGATACAGAATGCTTATTTCCACGTTCCTGACAATGTCTGCACTGAGCTGGCAAAGGTGAGGCTGTCCCTCCTGGTCTGTAGAGAACCCTAGACAGAATATGGTGGCTAGGGCTACCAACTCTCTAACCTATCCAGTCCACTCCAGTTTCCTGAAATCCATTTGCTCTAAAATCCACCACACTTCCAAAGCTAGCAACAAGTCCCCTCAAAGCTTGGCTGCATCTGCTTCCCACTTAGTAACCCCAGAAGCTTCATTTGAAAAATCCTGGTGTTTGTTACACATCTATTTTCCCTTCCTCAGCCAGAGCTAAGAATGAAACCTGGGAGTCCTAGCTCTTGCTGACTCCAGCTTGCAACCACTAGACACCACTCTCCTTCTAATGCTGAGACTCCATGCTTGTTTTAAGCCGTTGTGCTCCTTTCCCATCTCCCAGGAGCATGAAGTTCCCCAGAGCTGCATTTCTCAGGTACACCAGATCCCACTTTCCTCCTTCTCTGAAGCACTCAATTACACTACCCTCCTGTGGCCGGGTACAGAGCCCAGAAAGTTGTCTTTCAGTGGGTCTCCTGAAACTCTTCCTGAAAATTGCAATACATTCCCCTGCTAGGAGTTTTGCCAAGCCTCCTGTCCTAACCAGCTCAACCCACTCATCAATAGCAGCCCACTGCAGAGAGAAGCCAGGGCTCCTGCCTGCTTCAGCCCTTGAAATCCAGCAAAGCTAAGAGATCTTTTTGCTCCAAAGAACACTTTCTGAGCAGGGAGCAGAATTTTGGCTCCTCAAAGCTGCTTGCTTCCTAACCCTCCTGTTCCTTTGCTGTGCTTGCTGCTTCAGGCCTCTAATATGAACCCCCAAAGCTGCGCACCATACATAGCTCCAGTATCAGGCATTGGGCAGGCGTTCAGGTAGCCCTGTGGCTCCCCACTCCGGCTTCCTTAACTTTGCAGTCTGATGGCTTCCCTGCAGCCAGATGCTCAACTGGGAGGCAAGCAGGTTCCCAGCTGAGCATCTTCTTTGGAGCAGGTTTAGACAGCCTCCTTGATACAATACAGCTTTTTGCTGCTCCAGTAGGAATTGGGGGATCTCCAGCCTGAGCTTCAGGTCTGGGACAGATCTTTTCGCATAATCTCTCTTTTTTCGCCCAGCCCCCATGAAGCCTGCAGCTCATCTGGATAGTCTAGACTCTCCGGGTTAAGCATCAGGCTTGGTCCAGACTTTTACAGCATTTCTAGCTAACTATCAGCTTCCTTAAAGCTTGCTTCATCTTAGGGCTCAGGAACCTGTCATTCTAAGCTGCTAGCACTCATCCAGTTCCCCCTACCCTGGCTGCTCCCTGTGAGCTTCCTTGAGGCTCAGGAAGGTTATGAGTCTTTAACATGGGCTTGACATGGGCTTTAAGTTAATTCCTTGCTTCGTAACACCTTATCTGAAACGTGCTGTGGATCTGGGAGGCCAAGAGCCTCACATTGGAGCCTCAGACTTGGAGCAAGCTCACAAGTAGCCCCTCTTCCCCTTGGCAGGCTGAATCCTGCTGCTCATTGCGGGAGGGAGGTGTCAGAAATCTCCCAGTGAAGTATCTGCCTGGGTGGACTTTCAGCCACCTTCCTTGCCAGAGGATGCCTAATGTACTTCTGGTAGTCAGGAAGCTCCCTGAGGGTTTTAGGTTAGAGCAAGCAGCCCTGTTGTATCCTGCCATCTTCCTTGAAGTCTGCTGATAGTCTGATAGTATCTCCCAGCACAGCATCAGGTTTGGGGTTTTCTGCCATTCAGGCAGCCTCCCTCCTGGCTGCCCCACACCAGCATTTGTGAATAATAAACTAGGTGCTCAGACATCTCCAAACTGTGCATCAGGCTTGGGGAAGCATCTGAGCAGCCCCTTGGCTGCTCCCCATCAGCTTCTGTGATACAGCTAGAACTGAGGTGGTCAGGAATCTCCCAGCTGAGCATCGGGCTTGGGGCAAGCATCTGGGCAGCCTGCCTTCCTGGCTGCTCCCCACCAGCTTTTCTAGCTCTTAGCATGCAGCTAGGAGGTCAGAAATCTCTCAGCCGAGCATTAGGCTCACAGCAGAGGCAGCCTCCTTGGCTGCTCCCCAGGACCCAGAATCCTAACACTGTGGGCTGGCTTCAGCTTTGCTACTTGCTCCAGGGTTAGCTTCCTTGAATCCTGGTTCTGAACTAGGTATGGAACAATGTCCCTGCTGAACGTTAGGTGAGAAAGAGCTCACATTTCCCTCCAGGGTTCACAGAGTGCCCTGCTTGTCCAGGAAGCCAGGAATCTCACAGCTGAGCATCAGATGGGATCTATACCACTCTTTTGCTCTTGTCCAGCTTGTTTTAGCTTAGTATTCAGCTGGGTGCCAAGGATCTCCTAGCTGAGGATCAGGCATGGGGCAGGCTTTCAGATAAGCTTATGGGAAGCTGGTGGGCAGTGAGCTAACTCTCCTGCTTTGGCAGCAGCTGTCTACCAAAGGAGCCTTAGGTTTGGAGCAAGCTTTCAAGAACTGCCTTCCCCAGCTTGAATCCTGCTGCTGATCTGTGAGGTCAAAAATTTCACAGCTGAGCATCTGGCTGGGGTAGATGTCAGTCCCCCACTGCCACCTTATCATTTTCCTTGAAGACCAACCTTCATCTAGAAAGTCAAGGAACTGCTAGCTGGCCATCACATCTGAGTAAGCTTTTAGGTTGTCCTCTTGTTCCCCAGCTACTTTCTTGAAGCCCAACACTCCTCTGGGAGCCCAGAAGTTCCCAGTTCAGCATCAGGCTTTAGCCAGACTGTTGGGTAGCCCCCTTGCCCTCCTCCAGCTTGTAGCATAATCCGTAGCTTGGAGGCAAGAAGCAGTTTGGCAGGTAGCCCAGCTGGGACATAGCTGAGTAACAAGCTTGGGAGGAGTTAGCAAGGAGCCCTGGGACTTTTCTCACTTACCTTCTTTAGACCTCTCTCTTGGCTGAGTGGTGGGAAGCTTTCAAGCTGAACATGATACATGGTGAAGTTTCATGTGCCTACGTTCCTCCCTCTCAGCTGTTGCTGTTGCTCTGGCCTGGTATCAGAACATAGGAAGCTCAGTATTGCCTACACTAACTGATGGCAGCAGTGGCTCTCTAAGGTTGCAGGTGGGCTTCTCCCCCAGCCCAGAAGGTCCCCAGGAATTGATCCTGGGACCTTCCTCTTACAGAGCAGATGTTCTACCACTGAGCTTCAGTCTTTCCCATTTGGCTCTGATAACAGGAGTTGAAGTGGAGCTTCTGGAAGGTTGACCAGTCGCTCTTTATCCTTGAAGTTCTCAGCTCCAAGAGTCAACTGAATGCTGGTCTATAGGGAAGCTGGTGGGATACAACTAGGCTACCTTTGCAGCCTTCTCCAAGCCTCACATGCAGCAGCTCCAAGCCCCATCTACTCCCCCAGCTTCCCTTACATAAAGATGCTCAGTTGGAAAATGGTAGCAAGGAAGACTTGCAATTCAGCATCAGCTAGGAAGCCCAAGAATCAACAGGAGACCCTTGAGTACAGGAGAAAAATGCTTCTCCCCTTCTCAGGCATAGTATCCTTCACTTGCTTCCTGGAAAGTCTAGGACATCCCAAGGAGTCCCTTTTCTTTTGGGGTATCTATGTTCCTATCTTCTCAAGATCCATAACATTAAGAACAAACCCTCTTTTACTTACCGATCCCAAGGCTGGAGTTGATTGAAGCAAGCAGACCTCTGCTGAACGACCCACCGTCTGTTTCTGTTTGGGACTATTTTCTGTTGCAATGAGGCCTTCGGAGTTTTCCCCTAACCATGCTCTTATGAAGTGCCTTAAAAAAGAACGTTGCACGTTAGTGACGTCCTGAGAGTTGGCGTGAAGGTGTGAAAAAACATCATGAGTTTTAAGTTCAAGGGATATAATTGGGGGCAGCCAGAACTTCCCCCTTTTTTCTGACCTTCTCATAACTCCAAAATTCCATTGTTGAGAAAAGTAGGGCTAGATGAAATACAGAATTGGGGTGAATCTGGCCTTCCAAAACTCAAAACATGTGCTTATACTCACCTACTTCCCTCCTAATTAATTAGTTAATTCCACTTAACAGCCCTTGTTTGTTTGCTTGTTTTGTCCAGGGTGATGTATAAAATCAAAATTATATAAAGACATTAAGCATTACAGAGTTAAATAAACTGAGGCTGCAATCCTATATGGACTTTGCAGGGGCTTCGGTCTACGGCTATTCCCTTTGCTCAACACAATCACCACTGGCTTCCCAGCCCCATTGAATTCAGTGGGGATTACTTCTGAGTAGACATATAAAGGCTTGCACTGTCAATCCCAGTGAACTTTCGTGACGACATTGTTGTTGGTGAAGCTTACTACCAAGTGTAACAATGGCACTGTCAAAGAGGCTCATTCAGGCTTGAGTGCCAAACTAGGCCTTCACCTCATATATTGCTATTAACCATTTTCATATCACATTTCATTCCCGCAAATGGTTTTGGATTCCTACTTCATGCAGCTGTGGGATAAATTAAATTGTGAGGCCAATGTGGGCACTATCTGGTGCAGCCAACTTGCTTGTGCAATGGAAGTGCATTTGTGCAACAGGAGTTGCACTTTCTCTTCTTCACCCTCCAACAACCCCCGTGTGTACACATTTCCTGACATAAATAATACATTAAAAAAAATATATTCTAAACCAAGTTTTCTAAGACATGGTTTCATTTTATTGCAGTACATACGTTAATAACTAAGATTGGGCACTCTGACATCCCATTTTTTTCTTTTGGTTTGACTCAGTGATTTCATCCAAACCTCAATTTCAGAGTGCTAATGGCCTCTCACCCTTCTCAGGTGGGCAGCAGTTACAGATCTCACCTCAGTCCACCACCCCCAGAAGCTAGGGCCCATGTGTCTTGTCGACTGTTAAGGGAATTCCCTGGCTGGCAGAATCTAGGAGTGGGGATTCCCTGTCAAAATGCTGGCTTCAAATGGGCGGTGGCCTAGTTGACTGGCTGGGCATTAGCTGTGGCAACTCATAAAAGCTGGCTGCATCCTACTCCTACCCCTCCACAATGCAGTCGGCCGAACAGCTAACAATTCCCCCCCCCCCGCAGCCATCATTGTTGACCCCCATTTTTCTCATGTTGGTGTCACTATGCTGACTTTGTACCACATTCTTGTTTGTGTATTTGTGGGGAAAGTTCAATAGATAATTAAATTTTTAAAAAATTAAAATATAACAGCCAAACAACACCTGAAATTCCTTTTCCACAGGTCAGACCACCGGTCCATTTAGCCCAGTACTGCCCACACTGACTGGCAGTGGCTTTCTGGGGTTTTAGACAGGGGTCTCTCAGCCCTATTTCAGGATACCAGAAACTGAACCGGGGACTTTTGGTGAGCTTTTGCCATTCCTGTAAATGTTTCTGCTCTTCATTTCCTCAGACCTACCAGCACAGAAAGACTGGTGTAAGAAAGATTGCCTTCATCCTCAGTTAATGTCTCATCATGATCAAAGACAACCCCATTTTCTTAAACATTTTTAAGGGAGTTGAAAATGATGCAACAGAAGCATCTTTGCCAATTACAATAGCACATATTATTTTGACCCATCAGGTAAAAGAGTTTTTTAACACCTGCCAAGCCTTTGTCCCAATGGTAAAAGGGAAATAAATTTACAAAACAAGAGCAATGAAAGATATTTTAAACAGCTTTCAGCTCTTTGAAAAGCAGCATTCTCTCTTCTAGTACAGTGGTACATCGGGTTAAGAACGTAATTCGTTCTGGAGGTCCATTCTTGACCTGAAACAGTTCTTAACCTGAAGTACCATTTTAGATAATGGGGCCTCCCACTGCCGCCACACTGCCACCGTGCAATTTCTGTTCCCATCCTCAAGCAAAGTTCTTAACCTGAAGTACTATTTCTGGGTTAGCGGAGTTGGTAACCTGAAGCATCTGTAACCTGAAGCGTCTGGAACCCGAGGTACCACTGTACCTCTGAGTCGGGGATGAGACTGAAGGGCCAAAATGCTTTATGGAAAAGGTGAGCTTTGAGGAAGCCTTTGAAGGAACAGAGAGAAGTGGCTCTATGTAAGAGTCCAGGTAATCCAAGATGTCAGTAAAGAGTGAGGAAACTGTGGTCCTCCAGAGGTTGTTGGACTACAAAACCCATCATCCCTGACCATTTGTTATGCTGACTGTGGCTGCTTGGAACTGGAGTCCAATGACACCTGCAAGTCTGCAGGTTCCCCCAGCACTGATTTTATGGGAATGAAGGACAACAGGTGGAATTTTCAAAATAGGATGAGGCTCCTTTGAAAGTATGTGAAGGAGGAACAAAAACACCCTCCCCCTGCCAAAATAAAAACTATAGGAAGACTATTTCATTTTGGCATGTTCTTATTGTTGTCTAGTAAATACAGTTATGACCACAAAATATGCAATGTATGAAAACAGCAGTCAGTGCCAGTCATGATTCTGTTGAAGAACATGGTGGTGGTGCTGGGTGGGTCATAAAACTGATATATTTAAGTATTCAGTAATAGGGAAGGAGTTTAAGGACATTTGTGTACTGTTCTTAAGTGGATTTGGCTACAATAGGAAGGGTCAGAATCAGAGGTGGACCTTGGTAATACGATGCCCTGAGAGAGGGCAATATTTGGCGCCCTCCAAAACTAGTTCTTATTTTCACAATAATTCTTTTTGGTACTGTTACATTTTAGTGGGTCTTCTTAGTACTAGTATTAGTATTATTTTGTGCCCCCTTGGTGCTGGCAGAGTCTCCCACAGCTAGGGTAGACTGGATGCCTGTGAGTGAAGGGGGCATGTTGATGAACAGGCAAATAATGCAACAGCACATGGGGTGGAGAGGAGGCCTGAAGCCCTAAAATAGGGAGGGTGCAGTGGACGTAAGGACTGAGGGTACTCAGCCTGTCGTCCTATGCATAGCTATTTAGCAGTAAGTCCCTTTGAACCCATAGGGATGCGGGTGGCACTGTGGTCTAAACCACAGAGCCTAGGGCTTGCCGATAAGAAGGTCAGCGGTTTGAATCCCTGCGACGGGGTGAGCTCCCATTGCTCGGTCCCAGCTCCTGCCAACCTAGCAGTTCGAAAGCACATCAAAGTGCAAGTAGATAAACAGGTACCGCTTCGGCAGGAAGGTAAACGGCATTTCCGTGCACTGCTCTGGTTCGCCAGAAGCGGCTTAGTCATGCTGGCCACATGACCTGGAAGCTGTACGCTGGCTCCCTTGGCCAATAAAGCAAGATGAGCGCCGCAACCCCAGAGTCGGCCACGACTGGACCTAATGGTTAGGGGTCCCTTTACCTTTACCCTTTGAACCCAGCCAGAGTTGACATGCCAAAGCTCCTTTCTCAAGGCTTGTGCATCTGCCTCCAAACTTTATAAATCATAGGCTGGGTGGGAGAGCTGGTTCCTCTTTGCTGTACCCTCCCCAGCCCCAGCCCACCACTTAAGAGCAAGAGGGTACTTTCGTTTTGTTTCCCTTTCGATTGGTAAAGGATTTCTCACCCCCACCAACCGCTGGGTTCCTATGTGCCTTATAGGGTTATGAGCTCTGGGCTTTCAATGCCTAAGGCATTCTCCCAGAAAATAGTATTCTGTTGCCACCTTATCAATACTAATATCCCTTTGTCCCAGCCTTGATAGCTTAGCCAAACATGAGACGTGGTGTGAACAAACCAAAACTTTATTACGGTAGCAAAAGCTCGATGTTGACAGGTACTTATACAATGAGAGTCTGGATATTTTATATCATGTATTTATACTTCTATTAATAGCCTGCCCTGCCCATTCTACCCATTGCTCCTCAGCTCCCAAACCAGCCACCCTTCACTATCCCTCTCCAAAATCCCAACACACACACACACACACACACACACACACACACGTTCTAACTGTCACACTCCACCTTCAACAAATCTGCACAAAAAGATACCAGCATTCCTTCCCTCCCTCTCCCTTTGTGCACACCTTACCTTATATAGTACAAAAAAATCCCTCCTACAGAACATTTACCAAGTAGTACGTAAAATACAAAGCTGTACAGTTCAGTTACATTGGAAAACACCACACTCTTCTTGACAGTCACTGTGGAAGACATGTTTAAAGGACCAGTAGAAGGGCTTCATCTCCACCTGGCAAGGAGGAGAAGAGGCCGAAAGAGAGAAGATTAGGGCGTTCACACTGGAGAAGGAGCCCTAAATCCTGCCAGCGACTACGTCTTTGCACCCCATGAGGTGAAGGAAAGAGTTCCCAGGAAAACGTTTCTAGTCCACTCTTTGGCTAACGTTCTTATAGTCAGGGCCCAACGACTGCTTCTTCAGGAGCATCACAGTGGAGAAGAGCCATTTTACCTGTGGGAAGTAGTGAGAGTGGGGATAAGGAAGACATACAGCAGGAATGAGTACAGAAGAAGAAAAACATGCAAGATCTACTTGTTCTTAGTTCCCTTCCCTTTCCAGTCACAGTTTGCAAGGTATATTTATGTGTTTATTTATAAACCACTAACACATAAGAACATGACAGAAGAATAATAGGAAGAGTCTTGCTGCATCAAGTCAAAGGGAGCCCAGCCTCCTATTCTCACAGCGGCCAACCCGATTTCCATAGGAGCCCCACAAACAGGATTTGAGCCCAGCAGTGCTCTATTCACTTGTGATTCCTAGCAACTGGTACTCAGAGCCACACTGCCTTTAACAATGGAGGCAGAACATATCCATTGCAGTTAGTAGCCAATGATAACCTTATTTTCCATGAATTTGTCTTTTAAAGCCTTCCAAGTTGATGAACATCACTACCTCTCGCAGGAGCAAATTCCATATGAAGAACTATGGCCTTTGGGCATTGTACCATAAAACCATTCCTTGCCATCTTTCCCCATCCCATTACTCTTAACTTGTATTTCCAACCAACAAGTCAAATATTTTTCCTCATCCCGTTCTGATTTTAATGGGATATTGAATGGACTGTTTGACACAGTATACGTGTCATGTTATAGGCTCATTCTTCTACAGAACCATTCAGTAATTTACAACTAACAGTACAAACATCTCAGCATTATCCCTTTGTCTTTTCTCGTCTTTCTATCCCTGATGTGTTTATGCTGCCTCCCTTCCTCCACCATTTAAATGCAAATGTCGATATATAATACCCCTTCCCCTCTACTCACTTTGAACAGTGTAATGGTGGCACTATAACAAACACTGAGGAGGAAGAGAACAAAGAAAATGAAGATGGTTCGCCACAGGCGGTCCAGTTCCTCCTCTTTCTCATCACTGTAATCATTCATTGTTGAAACAGTCACCTCTGTGAGGGGAGAGAGAGAGAGAGACGTCAATCCCTGTATTCACCATAAAACATTCCCAAGCTTCACCCACCACTAATGTCTATACCCTTTGTAATCAACATAGGCTACAGAAATCTCAAAGCTACCTGTTCCGAAATTTGACTGTAATTGCAGATAGAAATGTATGAAACCTACAGGGTGGGAATTTTATCATAGTGCATTGGTCAGATAATTCCTGACCTAATGCCAGGCTATGGGTTGCCATTTAAAAATCCACTTTCCCCTTTAGATTCTATCTGCTCGCATTTGTTTGCCAAGTCTCCCTTGTCCTTAGTAATATGGCAGGAAGTGGCAGGTATTAGCATGCATGGACACTTCACTTAGAGTTATTCTGACTCATAGGTTCTACTCAGTAGTACCGATGTACTATTCTTATATTTCTTCTTATTCTTACAGTCTAACATGGACTACAAAACCTATGACGCATGAACTGCACATCTGCAAAATCATCTATGGCCTACATAACAATAAATATCATCTAAATTTTGAAATAGAGGCTTGGTGTTAGAGTTTTGGTAACCCAGCCTGTTCACCCCAGGTAATGTTTGTGCCTAGTTCTTCAGAGTAACTTCAGTCTCTCTCTCTCCTTATTTACTGAGGGACATACAGAAAGGCCACACAGTGAGCATCATAGTTGATGGGGGCTTTGAATCCGGTCTTCTAACCACCGAAAACGAACACTAGCCAGTACGCAAAGCAGGCCACCTGTTAACATCGAAGTATGGAGTAACCAGCGAGTAGGTGTGGGTAGGGAGTTGTGTTCATTTCATGTGCAGGTAGCTGAGGCCACAGCATTGCGGCATAATTGGGGCAAGAGTCAAAACAAACAAACAGAATCCTTCCAGTAGCACCTTAGAGCCCAACTAAGTTTGTTATTGGTATGAGCTTTCGTGTGCAAGGTATCTGAAGAAGTGTGCATGCACACAAAAGCTCATACCAATAACAAACTTCGTTGGGCTCTAAGGTGCTACTGGAAGGAATTTTTTTATTTTATTTCAACTACAGCAGACCAACACGGCTACCTACCTATAACTGGGGCAAGAGTGTTTGAGTGGAGATTTGGGCTGCTGGGCCCAAGTGTGCTTAGAAATCCTATCCCCCCCCCCCCCCGATTTTTAAGATCACTGCTCAAAATGTCAAGAGATTTTGAGGCAGCTTATCTTTTTGTGTGTATGTGGTTTGACTGGGTGGTTCTGAGGTGATCCCAGACTATCTCTGTGAGGAGAAAAAATACCCCCCATTGTATACCTGCATGTCATGATTGGGTCAAAGCGCCTTGTCTAACATATTATCTCTCACATCCCACTCTCAATGTAAGGCCAGTCCAAAAATATGTCCTGAATATTCAGTGAATTTGATTTTCTCTCATGGCTCCTCATCCATCTGACCTATTCGCCAATCTATCCAAAGCTTGGCTCAGTTTGCTCACCCATCCCAATCAGATTTAGGGTCTATTATTATTATTATTATTATTATTAATAATTATTGCTATCATCATTATCATAATTATTAATTTCACAGATGGGATGCTAACTGTCACTTGGTTTTTTTTTTATAGTTAACAGCCACTTTGAGGGATAAATTTTGTAAGGACCCAGGTATGTAGTCCTGTGGCTTCCCTGTGGCTGCTCCTTGTCCCTGTTCTCGCATTTAGTCTGGCTCTTACAGACTATTCTTTGCTCTCAGGCAATGCAGGTGTGGTGCATTTTCTTAGTTTCTTCTGCTGCCTCTCTGAGATAAATAATCTGGACAATGTGAGTTGATATGAAGGAAAGCTATATATTGTCGATGGTGAGTGTGCATGACTGTTGCACCAGATGACTGCTGGCTACTTTCTGGCCCTATGACTCCCTTACTCCTGCTCTCTGTTGAACTATCTTTCCCCAGGATGCCTCGCCTGCTCCTGTACTTCCAGCTCCATACAGATATCTCTGTCCTTGTAGCAGAGAACATACCTTGCACAGATGGTAGCCAATGCTAGTCCTACTCAGAGTAGCGCTATTGAAATTAATGGACAAGTGGTAGTCTTATTCATTAATTCCAGTGGGTCTGCTGTGAGTAAGGCTAACATTGGATACAGCCAATATCTGTAATTAGTACTGTCATTCATGATTTTGTCTTGGTTTCTTTTAAAGGGATTCATGAAAACATTACGTAGAGTTTGAAGAGCTGGAGCTGGTCAGAGTGACCAGCATTAGGCTGAGAAGGAAAGCTGATCAAGACTCAATAAAAGTCAGCTTTTTCATCTTATAAGATATGTCCCAAACAGGAAGACAGAAGAAGAGAAGGGCAACGTAAAATAATTTCCCACCTATCATCTGCAATGGGCAGAATACATATTCATATCAAGAAGGCAAAATTAGAATATGAGGCTTGGGCCTTGATTTTTTGGGACTGTGGCAAATTTAGAAAGACATTTTGCTCATTTCCCCAGCCTTTTTATTTTTACTCCCTTGGTTTGTGTTTGTGCTTGTGTTTGTGTGTGTGTGTTCCCAAACATGCTCCCATTTCTAAATCTGTTGCTTCTATTTGAGCCACCCAAGCCTTGTTAGCATCTTGGACCTTCTTGACTTTCTGGTCCCCTTGCTCTGCTGCTGCTTCAGTTTTGCTTGTTTACACTGTCCTCCACAGCTTCTTTTCCTGCTGTAATGTTATCTATCAGCTTCTAATACATGGAACACTGAGTTATAATACTGTTTCTGGGCCTGCAGTGAACTCCACAGCTCTGCCACAATTGACTAGTTTGAACCATTGAGGAACAGAGGCCTGGTAACAGTTGACAAAAGGATGGAGCTGCTGGTGGTTGTGATGGGAGAGGTTGAGGGGAATCTGCAACAGAATCTTCGTGGGAGAGGAGGATACATAAATATTCCTCTTCAATGTTATAGCAGCTGTTTTCAGCACCAGACATTAAAAAGAGAGCAGCTTCCTGTGTATAGACATGTACAGAGGGAAGCCAGTGTGGAGCAGATGACAGGATATTGGACTTGAGCCCAGTGGAATTTGACCCAGATTCAAATCACCATTTATCTAGATCAGCCTTTCTCAACCTGTGGGTCCCCAGATGTTGTTGGACTACAATTCCCATCATCCCTAGCTAGCAAGGCCAGAGCTCAGGGATGATGGGAGTTGTAGTCCAACAACATCTAGGGACCCACAGGTTGAGAACCGCTGATCTAGATGAAGCTCACTGAGTGTCTTTGGACCAAAACCCTCTCACTTCTGGCACATATCAGAGGCCTGTTATGAGCAGTAAAACTACACATATACTGACATCAGACCTTTGCAACCTCTCTGCTCCCCATGGCATAGCTCTGATAATGGCGAATACATTTTCCTTCCAATATCATGAAGACCCACTTAATAAATCCGTTCTCTCCTTGCTTTCCAGAACCCACCCACCCCACCCCAGTCATCGATTCTCCTGCAAGTGACCACAACATGGGATATATCTGAGTTAGTTCTCTTTTATTCAGCCATAGGCCAAACATGCATGCATGCATGGAAGACCTTTACACAGGTTTATCTGACAATGCTAGAGGAAAATCCGGGAGAGGCTGAAGAGGTTACAGTGCCATAGGAGGCATGGCCATCATTTTTTACCCTGGGTTTTCTCCACGGTCCTCTGGGTGAACTTCATAGGGAGGGCTTCGTGGTAAACTATGCAAGTGAAAGGGATTCCACTGTTCCAGTCAGAGAATGGGATTGTCAGCTTGCTGTAGATGAAGTGGGAGTTGTTGCTCTTGTCCTTCATGACTGGCGTGTTGACATGGTGATCTTCAGGCATGGCATTGTTATTCTTCAGCCACTGGATAGAAACTTCTTTTGGGGTGAATCCTGTCACCAGGCAGGTGAGCGTCAGCATTGGTGGCCGAGCACGGATTTCCTCGTTGTGTGGGGAGAAGAGGAACACCTTGGGAGCCTTTATGTTGCCTTTTTTGGGGTGGGGGAATGTATGAGAGAAAAGATGTGCCAGCAGTGATTAAGATTAGAACCATTTAGTGGATGCCGCAATACATTCCCAATAATGATCCCAAAAGGCCCATCATATTATCTGAAACTGCACGAGGATTTCCCCAGAGTCTACCTGTGCTCTTCTTTCTGGTCAGGAAACAGTGCTCTCCCCCCCCCGGGGGGGGGTTATTCAAGGGTACACAGTACCAGCACCTTCTGTTTTGTCTTTAAAAAGTATGGCACTTAACTGTAATCACTTAATGGTGAGTAATGGCACTTATTTTTCTAGAAAAAAAGCACTGCTTGTCTCCATGATATACACAGGCACCCTGCTTCTGGGCACAATTCAAAGTGTTGGTGCTGACCTTGATAGCCATAACGGGCCTCAGCCCAGTATACCTGAAGGAGCATCTCCACCCCCATTGTTCTGCCCAGACACTGAGGTCCAGCGCCGAGAGCCTTCTGGTGGTTTCCTCCCTGTGAGAAGTGAAGTTGCAAGGGACGGGAGCAGGCAGAGGGCCTTCTTGGTGGTGGCACCCGCCCTGTGGAACGTTCTTCCATCAGATGTCAAGGAAATAAACAACTGTCTTTTAGAAGACATCTGAAGGCAGCCCTGTTTAGGGAAGTTTTTAATGTTTGATGTTTTATTGTGTTTTAATATTCTGTTGGGAGCTGCCCAGAGTGGCTGGGGAAACCTGTATGTATGTATGTATGTATGTATGTATGTACAAATAAATAAATAAATAAATAAATGAACAGCTCTGCCTTCTCTGGTGGCATTCACATTCATAAATAGCACAGCAAACAAAGTTTTAGAAATTAATCTATCCATATTGCAATTCCTGTTACAATTTGAATGTCATGGCTTCTCCCCAAGAGAATCCTGGGGCTTGTGGTTTGGACAGGAGTGCTGATTATTATCTGCCAAATGGCTTGAAAAACAGTTTCAAGTACAGTAGACAGAGTAAATCCTCAGCGACAACATTAACAAGCTAGAATGCATTTAGCTGAAGCTCTTGTGCACGTGGACCTGGGTAGGAAGAAGTGCAACATGGGTTGGGCTTCTTGGAGCTGGATGAATACATAAGGTACCAAACCAAGATAGCAGAGATTTTACACAGTCTACTTTCTCTTAACAGATATACACAGGGGGCCCATAACACAGAGAATCCCAGTCTTTCCTGAGAAAGTATTGGTATGCTCAAGTTCCCACATTGTTCTTTCCAGGTACCTCCTTAAATGTATGGATTAGGCCACCAGGGCAAGGATAATGAACTGCCCTCAACAGAACTGGCTCAATCCTTCATCTACCTATCAATAGACAGATTCAGGGGTTAGAAGGATCCTTAGCTGGAGATGGAAATAGTCCCAGTGTTGCCTTCTGATAAAAAGCATGCATTGCAGGTTTCTCAAGCACCATAAAAACCTGTGAGCAGAGACAAGTGTAGAATGATTGTGCAAACCTGCACAATAGCCCCACCAGACTGTGTGAGATTGCAAAGTGTGTCCGCAGTGTAAATCGCAGATGAGCCAAGTGGTGCTGTGTGTTTAAGTATTCTCTTTCCTGCTGGAACACAAGGAAACCAGCCCCATGATGGGAGACCAACTCTGTTCCCCCCCTTACCTGTTGTCTTGGCAATGGTCTTAGTGATGGGAGCAGTCAAGCCTGGATATTCCACCTTGCAGGTGAATTCCTCACCCTGCAGCCACGTTGTGACAGGGAGGGAGCTGGTCGCGGTGTACTTTCCATTAAGCTCTTCTTTCACTTCCAATAAACCTGGGCTCACAGGTCCTGAATTTGCCCGTGACCAGGTGACTTTCAGCCCGTCTGCATTTTCCAGATTTTCCACCACACAGGTGAGCGTAGGGTCTCTGTTTATGTACAAGTCTTTTGCGGTTGGGGGCATGATTCGCACGCTAATGCCAGCGGAGGGGCAATCGGTATTATCTGGGGATACAAACGTCATGTTACTTCTCCAACCGCCCCTCCCCTCCCTGCTGTTTTAGGGGCTTGCATGCATCCTGTTAAGAAGGGCATTCCTTGCTGCAGAGTAAAAGGAATCAATAACTCCACACCTGGTACATGTATTAAAGGAAAGAAGCTGGCATTTGGTGCCCTTGGGTGTCTGAGAATCAATAAAAGCTCCATATTCCATTGTCAGTAACCAAGCAAAAAATAAAATAAAAATAGTTCCCTGTCACCCTCCATATTCCATTGTGAATAATGAGCAGGAACAAACAGTTCCCTATCACCCTCTTCTACAACATCAGTTTCTGCTATCAAGACTACATTGTTTCCTGCTTGGCAGGGGGTTGGACTCGATGGCCCTTGTGGTCTATTCCAACTCTATGATTCTATGATTCTATGATTCATTGTTCTATCCAGGAGAAGGTTTACACCACTGACTCAAACTACATGTTGTAGAGGATGGAAAATGTCCTCTGACCCTGAAGAGGATAGCATATTTGCCAAGACTTTTCATGGACATCTGGGGCACTCTGATGTCCCCTGCACTATGTCTTCCCTGAGTCCTGCTTCCAGTAGAAATGGAAAATAACTACTCTACTATTAAGGTCATGTGTACACTGCAGTCAATGGGAAAAGGTTTATTTCAATGGGCCATAATAGAAAGCAGAGCATATGTATGTATGTATGTATGTATGTATACTGTGTATGTGTATACTGTGTGTATATATGTATACGTATACGTATATGTACATGTACACACACACACACAGTGGTACCTCGGTTTAAGAGGACTCCCATGTAAGTTCCACCCTCTATTGTGCGGGCAGGGCGGTCCCACCCTACCTGGCCAACTCTCCTGGCAATGCCCCTCCCCCGCTGGGATTAGTTAACTGTCTGAGGTTAGGCGGGAACCTCCAGGTATCCAGCGTGGGAGGGGGCAAAGCCAGGTTGTATTTTAGTAAGCTGCGTAGGATGGGGGGGGGGCTGTGCGCAACCACACAAACCCCACCCCCATTTGATGTGGGGAGCGATTATGAATGATTCGGTTTATGAACTCCGCAAAACCGGAAGTAGTGTCCCGTTTTGAGAACTTTACCTCGGTCTAAGAACGGAAGCCAAACAGTGGAAGGGCACCGGTGGCGGGAGGCCTGATTAGGCGAAGTGCGCCTCGGTTTAAGAACGGTTTCGGTTTAAGAACAGACTTCCGGAACGGATTAAGTTCCCAAACCGAGTTACCACTGTGTGTCTGTCTGTCTGTCTGTGTGTGTATGAATTAGGAAGGACACTATCTTGAAATGCTTAGCCCCTGAGAGGACCCTCTGTAACCTCGAAGCTGTTGTCATCCTCCCCCTTGCATTCCAGTCCATGCCCACCAAAACAGAGGAAAACACAAGTGCCAGCTCAGTCAACCTTTCCTACCTTCACATATCTTGGCTTTGCTTTTCAATTTGGTTTGGGTTGCTTCGTGGAACACCTGGCAGTGGTAGGTATTCCCAGCCTGCCAGTCTTCTTTGCTAACATTGACTGTGCTTGTGGTACTGAAGGTGTATCCGTGGGCATCCTTCCTGGGTGGTGCTGTGACCGAGGATAGCAACCCAGGTTGCCCACCCACTAGCCACTCTATCGTCACCCTGCTGGGGTAGAAGCTGGAGATAATGCAGAGCAGCTCAATGGTGGCATGCCTGGGATCACAGGAGGAATGGAGCAGGCGGACTTCTGGGACCACTGCTGGTTTCGCAGGAGAGTCTGGAGGGGTATAAGTTATGGGAAGGCAGGGATGGGTTAACTTGTCAATTTTGATTTCTCTCAGTCCCCCACCCCCCCATTCTCCGTATCTCTATACAAATATTTCTAAAATAAGTACTTATGAAAATTCATCTGCATTTTAATCTAATTTTTTCCTAACATGCTGTCTTTACATACTATCTTGCCTAATATAAACATTTTTGCTAAGCAGTGCTCCTGATATAATGCTTTTTTATATGTTATTTATACTAATATATCCATTTTTGTGCACATCTTTCCCTAGTAGATGCATTTTTGTACACACTACTGTACTTGGCTGGAGAACTGCTTTGCAAAATTCGGATAAGTGTGAATTTGAAAGGATGGCTGCGTTTCATTCAAGTTTTGTTGTGAATTAGGTTGATTCATATTTAAATCTTAACTGAACTGATATTCTCTCCCATCCATATGTGAGGGGAATTCATACCATTTGTTTGTGATCTATCCCCCTTCCCCATGTCTTAGTGAGCTTCACTTTGCCACCTATTTCCCTCTCCACGTAAGCTTTGAGGTCTAAGTAGCTACTAGTTCATCTGCAATTTGCCTCTTTTGGTTCTCCTGTTATCATCCTCCCCACCTTTTGACATGCTGATCCCAAAGTTATGAACAGCCTCACCTTCTCATCAAGGCACTTTCCCCCCACTCCGTATCCCTTTTCAAAGCTTGCCTCCCCCCTGTAGCTATCATGCTTTGCCTTGGCACAGGGTGATCAATCCTAACCATTCCTTCCAACATTACAAGTGAGTGGGCCGTAGGAACAGCCAACCACCCCAGAACTTAAGTCATTTCACTGGTTCTGCAGGTTGACAACTCATATAATGAATTAAAATGAGGGGTCATGAATGCCATTCACATGTGTGTGTATGTTTTGTGTTTTGGTAAAATTGCTCCAAAGAAGAATGATCTATAAATGGCCACAAATCCCTCTAAATTAATCTAACCTTGAAATGTATTCCAAAAGGTTGCTGCTGGATGATGCTCCAACTTGCCGCTGACAACTGAAATCCGAAATGCTGCAACCTGACTTTTTCTTATACCATTGTTGGTAGTGAATGGAGGATTCCAAACTCGTTCTCTCCACTCCAACCCCTATATTTCATTTGTAAGCCTTGTTGGGCAAAGACATTTTTCTTTTTGTTGGTGCCTGCCATGCTTAATGTGCCTTGAAATGAGACAATAATACTACCCAAAAATATTGCATCTATTGCCCCTCTCTCTCCACCCAAGTAATTTACTTTATTTTCTTTAAGCGCATTGATTGCCCATTTGAGAGTTAAAAAGCAAGCAGATAACCAAAGCCCAGAAAGACTCACGCTCAATGTCTTTGTTGGCTGTGAAGCCGGTAGCTGCATGTGTGACATTGCATTGGAACTTCTCCGATTCCCAGGTGCTGGTTGGGATGGTGAGCTGGCTGGTGAGAGTGTAGTGGCCACTGGATGAATCCAATAGTGCAGGGAAGGTTCGGATGCCGCTGGAGATGGCTCCCGAATTCCACTGTACTGTGACCGGTTCAGGAAAGTAGCCAGAGACCAGACAACCTATGGAGACCTGAGAGGCAGTAGAGGAGTCTTGGCTACAGGGAGGCAATGGGAAGACTGTCGGTGCTGCGGCACTTGCTGCAATTAAAGAGAGCAAAAGACATGTTGAAGATATGCTGTCCAGCAAATGTGTGTTCCATGGGCTGAGTGTGGGTTACACGATATCATTGTCTCATTCCTGCCCTCATCACAACATAGTAAGTGGTAATAAGTGTCTCTAGCACCACATCCATACCAACTCAAAAATGGAAAGTGTAATGCTGGTGGTCAACAAAAGAGATTTAAAGACTCTCTCAAGGCAAATCTAAAAAAAAGTAGTATAAACAATGACAACTGGGAAACACTGGCCTGTGAGTGCTCCAACTGGAGAACAGCCTTTACCAAAGGGATCACAAGCTTTGAAGATGCTTGAAGTCAGGACGAAAGGGAGAAATGTGCTAAGAGGAAGGCACGCTTGGCAAACCCTTACCATGATCATTTCCTGCCTGGAAACATATGTCCCCACTGTGGAAGGATGTATGGATCCAGAACTGGCCCCTATAGTCACTTATGGGTCCACTGTTAAAACCGGGTTTATGGAAGACAATCTTACTCAGCTACGAATGATCGCCAAAGAAGTACAAGAAGAAATGTTCAGGCCTGTGCAGAGCTTGTCTGTTGCCCCAGATGCGATTCTTCTTAGAATTAAGTTATGAACTCAAACAAAAAAACCAGCTCGTACCTGGGAGGGTCTCCCAGGTGGCTTAACCCTCCAAGGCCTGGAGTGAGTGCTAGTTTCCATAGGCAATAGTTGTCATGGAGTTCTCTACCACTTATGGCTAATTTTAAATCGACAGTTACTTCCCTGGTTGGGAAAACCATAGATTTGTACATTTCACTTCATCACTCTGCTCACCCATATGTATCTCCCAGACCTCTTTCAGTCCAGTAAGGAGGCCTGTCACAATTTCTATTAAGATCTTATGGATACTAGAAGCAAATCCTTTGCTCTTGGAGCCAGTGCTAACAGTAAGAGCCTTAAAGGGGCCTGGTTGCCTCTATCACAAACATTATTGAGGCAGCACATTAACCTGAAAGACATTGGGACATGCTCAAGTTCATCCATAAAGGTAAAGGTGAAGTACCCCTAGACGGTTAAGTCCAGTCAAAGGCGACTATGGGGTTGTGACGCTCATCTTGCTTCCGGCTGTGGGAGCTGGCATTTGTCCACAGACAGCTTTCTGGGTCATGTGACCAGCATGACTAAACTGCATCTGGTGCAATGGAACACCAAAATGGAAACCAGAGTGCTCAGAAACACAGTTTACCTTCCCGCCACAGTGGTACCTATTTATCTACTGTGTGCTTTTGAACTGCTAGGTTGGCAGGAGCTGGGACCGAGCCACGGAAGCTCGCCCTGTCGTGGGGATTCAAACCACCAACCTTCTGATCGGCAAGCCCAAGAGGCTCAGTGGTTTAGACCACAGTGCCACCTGCATCCCTCAGTTCATCCATAGTTCTACTATTGCCAACAAGTTCCAAACCTGGCCATTTGTTTGAGAGAGGGAAGGTATCTATTGCAACAAAGCAACAGTTTCAAATTTATTTTCTTAACCACGAGAGCTAGAAACTCTCTTGAAAATACTGAAATCTAAGGATGCTGAATTATTTGCAGAATACAAACAGCCGAACTGGCTGATTCTTTCCAAATTTGCCAAATGCTGTCCTTGAGCTGCACCAGTGAATTCCACATCAAGTTTTCGGGGCTTCAAGTTTTTAATGTATAACCAAACCAGATACATTTTTATTTTGAATTCTACATTTATTTATTAAAAAAAAGTTGTGGGGGGAATCTTAAATCCACGAAAAGGGGGCTTTGTGGTTTATGGAAAGCAGTAAAAAGGAAGTGTGTAGTTTTTGCCTAGTTTTTACTGGTGGCAAAACTGTGTCTGGCCTATGCCTAAAGGAAATGATGTCAGGGAGGAAAAATTCTAGCAGCAGGGTGGGGAACATTTGTAACCCAAGGGTCTCATTCCATCATGAGCAATGTTCTGGGGGCACATGCTAACCGGAGTCATGTTCAAAGTCAAAAGGAGCAAAGATGAACAGAGCAAAAGATGGAACTCTTACTTTTGCACTTTCTAGCTGCAGAAAATACAGAGGATTCTGTGCACACATAGATTCCCCCATCCAAGTTAAGCAAGAACCAGTATCACAATTCAAGGACACTTCCCAACCAGGCAAAAAACACTCAAGGAATGGGATGTGGTAAGTCTGGGGAGGGTTGTAAAAGCTGGACGGAGAGAATGGAGGGGCAAATTTGTCCCCTAAGCATGAGGTGCCCCATTTCCCCCTGGTTCACTAGTTGAACAGCAACAGTGCTTTTTACAAATAATGCAGGTTGGGGGGGAAATGAAGGCATATCAGCCATGTGTTATCTCTGAGACCTAGGTCTACTACCTCTGTGGGAACAAGGTCTTGCTGTCCGCTAGAGGATGCAGAGCCTTAGGCCAAGAGGGTGCTGCTGGACGTCTGTCCCATGAGAAAAACTTCAGGTTTCTCAACAGCTTGCAAATTGTAGACACATAGCCAGTTCCTTTCCCCGCAGAGGTGTCACTCAGAAAGTTAGGAGGGGAAGCTTTTCCTGCCATGATGGGGAAAAACTTTAACTGCTTAGATACCTTGTTTCAGGAGTAAGACCAAGGAAACAGCCGTGTCTCTCTGGTGGCTGACTCAACAGGCAGCATACATAATAAAACAGATTATGCAACAACTCAGTAAAATGATAACATCAAGAAAAGATAACCCAGCAGTAGATAAAATCCAGGCATAAAATGGGACTGCCCAGCAATCTTTAAAAGCCAAGAAGGTGCAAATATTGTGAGAAATCCTGAGTCCAACAACATGTTCTCAAATGCTGAATGTGAGCGACATCAGCATGTGTCAGTGTTAAAGATGAGGTGTGTGAGAGATGTTTAGAAGTCTTGGGGATGCTGCTGAGCAAAAGCAACTCATAATTAAGACAGTTTCAACAACGCCCATCCCAAAGGCAAGGCAGGGACAGTGCTTTGCCAGAGACAAGTTCCAGAAAATAGGAACCATTCCTGTTAAATAGTGACAACTGCCAAACATGTCCTTCTCTAGCTACAAGACCTGGGATGCCTTTTAGTTCCATGGAACTTCCCTTCTGACCTTGCACAGGCCCCCTCTCCAGTCACCCACATCTTCTCTACCTTCCCCTCCTCAGCCAGAGCTGATGGTCAAACCGAGGAGTCCAGCACATGCTGACTCCAGCTTGGAACCACTGGAAACCACTCTCCTAATGTGGGGAGTTCATGTTTTAAGCTGTTATGCTCCTCTCTCCTCCCCCAGAAGCAGGAGCTTCCTCAGGGCTGCCATTCTCAGGTGCACCAGATACCACATTCCTTGTTCTCTAAACCACTCAACTATCCTACTCTTCTATGGCTGGGTACTCACCTCTGTCCTAACCAGCTTGGCCCCACTCATCCGTTGCAGCCCACTCCAGAGAGAACCCAGGGCTCCTGTTTACTTCAGCCCTTGCAGCCTAGCAAAACTTAGGGGTCTTTTTGCCCCAGAGAACACTTTCTGAGCAGGGAGCAGAACTTAGGCTCCTCAAAGCCGCTTGCTTCCTAACCCTCTTGTTCCTTGGCTGAGCTTGCAGTTTCAAGTCTCTAGAGACGAAGCCCTAAAGCTACACATTACAGCTCGGGCCTTGGACAAGCATTCAAGTAGCCCACTGGCTCCCCCACAGCCCCCACCCTGTCAGCTTCTCGTATGGCTTCCCTGAAGCCAGACCCTGAGCTGAGAGCCAAGCTAAGGTAGCCTTCTTGATCCAAGACAGCTTCCTTGAAGCCTACTATTCAAGTAAGAATTGGGGGATCTCCAGGCTGAGATTCATGCCTGGAGCAGATCCAGCCCCCATGAAGCCTGTTACCCCTTTTGAATGGTCAGGAATTTCCCAGTTGAGCATCAGGCTTGGATCAGACTTTCAGAAAGCACCTCCTGCTGTCTACCAGCTTCCTACATCTGAAGGGTCAGGAACCTCCTAGCCCTCAGCCAGCCCCTGCCCCCTGGTTGCTCCCTTTCGGCTTCTTGCAGCCTGTTGTGGCTCAGGAAGTTTATGGATCCCTCAGTTTGACGCTGGGCTTGGCACAGGCTTTAAAATACTTCCTTGCTCCTGAAGCCTGTTGTGGATCTGGGAGGCCAAAAGCACCATAGATGAGCGTCAGGCATGGGGACAGGCTTTCAGGCAGCTCCTCTGCTCCCTGCCAGGCTGGAGCCTCCTGCTCATCTGGGTGGTGGTGGTCAGAAATCTGCCAGCTAAGCATCTGAGTGGACTTTCAGTCACCTTCCTTGCCAAATGAAGCCTAACATTCTTCTGGGAAGTTTTGGAGACTCCCAGCTAGCATCAGGTTAGAGCAAGCTCTTCAGGCAGCCCCTTGTTCCCTGCCATCTCCCCTGAAGTTTGCTGAATGATAGTACCTCCCAGCTGATCATCAGGCTAACGGCAGACATCCAGAGAGCTTGCTGACTGCTTCCCACTAGCTTATGTGAAGTCTTACATTGATCTGAGTTAGCAAGAACCTTCCAGCTGTGTGTTAGGCTTTGGGCAGGCTTCCAGGCAGCCTCCCACCTTGCTGCTCCCTACTAGCTGTTTTTTGTGAAGCCTAACACACAGTTGGGTGGTCAGAAATCTCCTAGTCAGTCACTAGGCTTAGGGCACCCATCCAGCCAGTCTCCCCTCTCAGCTGCTGCCCACCAGCTTCTGTAAATTCTAATGCTCAGCTGGATAGTCAAAAGTCTCCCAGCTGAGCTTGGGACAGGCATCTAGGCTGTCCCATCTCCTGGATGCTCCCTGCCAGCTTTTGTGAATGATAGCACTCGGGTGGGTTGTCACATACCTTCCAGTTGTGCACCAGGCATCAGGAAACCCCACTGGCTGTTTCCTACCAGCTTTTGTGACTCCGAGCACTCAGCTAGGTAGGCAAGAAACTCCTAGCTGAGCATCATGCTTGGGGCAGGCATTTCGTCAGCCCACCCAGCTGCTTCCCACAAGCTTTTCTGAAGTGCCACTCAAACGTGGGTGGTCAAGAATCTCCCAGCTGAGCACCAGCTGCTCCCCAGCTCCTGCAGAAGCTTTACACTGTGGGCTGGCTTCGGCCTTCCTATGTGTGCCAAGATCAGCTTCCTTGAAGTAGGTATTGAAGAATCTCCCAGCTGAAGATCAGGTGGGACAGAGCTCCAGTCCCCCACCCCCGGTCCATTTATTCGCGCCTGCTGCTTCAACATGACGCCTGGAGTTTATCAGTTGAGCGTCAGGTGGATTTTATAGCACTCCCTTGCACCTGTCCAGCTTGTTTGAATCCTAGTGCTCAGCTGCAAACCAGGAACCTCCCAGCTAAGTATCAGGCTTGGGACAAGCTTTCAAGTAGCTCCCCTGCTCCCTGCGAGGCTGAAGCCTGCTGCTCATCAAGGAGTGGGGGCAGTGGCAGAAATCTCCCAGCTAAGCATCTGGCTGGAGTAGACTTTCAACCACCCTCCTCCTTGCCAGATGAAGCTTAATCTGAAAGTCAGGAAACTCCCAGCTAGGCATTAGGTTAAAGCAGGCTCTCAGGCAGCCTCTTGTTCCCCACCAGCCCTATCAGTCTGCTGATTTTCTGATAAGCCAAGTATCTCACAGTTGAGCACCTGGCTTTTGCTATACATCTACATAGCCCTCCCCAACTTCTCAGCTGCTCCCCCCCCCGGCTTATGTGAACAGCTAGGTGGTCAAGAACCTCGTATCAGGCTTGGGGCAGCCATCTGGGCAGCCCACCCACCTGGCAGCACCTGACTAGCTTTTGTGAAGCCTAACTCTCAACTGGGTGGTCAAGAATCTTCCTGTTGAGCATGAGGCTCAGAGCAGGAACCCAGGTGCCCTCCTCCCAACTGCTCCCCACCAGCTTACATAAACCTGGCGTTCAGCTGGGTGGTCAAGAATCCCCCAGTTGAGCACCGGGCTTGGAGCAGGCCTCCATGCACCCACCCAGCAATTGCAAAACCTTACACATAGCCCTGCTTCTTAACTGCTTCCTCCACCAGCTTATGGGAAGACCAACAGCTAGGTAGGTGGCATAAAATCTCCCAACTGAGCGTGTGGCTTGGGACAGCCATCCAGGCATTCCCCTCCCCACCAGTTTTTGTGAATTACATCACCTGGGTGGGTTGTCAAATACTTGTGCCTAAAGCTTGCTGCCGGCATCAGGAAACCTCTGAAGCTGCTCCCTACAGATTTTGTGGCTCCTAGCACACAGCTAAGTAGTCAAGAATCTTCTAGCTGAGCATTGGGCTTGGGGAGGCATTTCGGCAGTCCACCCACCCGGCTTCTACCCTCAGCTTTTGTGAGCACCTGGCTTTTGCTCCCCCAACTGAGCATCAGGCTTGGGGCAGCCCCACCGGCAGCTCCCAAGCACCTATAACACCTTGCATTCAGGGCTGGTTTCAACTTTCCTCTGCTCCAGGATTAGCTTCCTTGAATCCTAATACTGAACTAGGTATTGAATTGTACTGCTGTGCATCAGGTGGGACATAGCTCCAGTCCCCCCCCCCTCCAGGGTTCATGAAGTATACTGCTCATGTATGAAGCCAGGCGTCTTACAGCTGACATGGATTTTATAGCACTCCCTTGCACTTGTCCAGCTTGTTGCAAGCCCTAGTGCTCAGCTGGGTCCTTGCCATCTCCCAGCTGGGTCAGGCTTTTGGGTAGCTCCCTTCCTCCCCACCGGCTTCCCATAAGCCTTGCACCCCTTCAAGAGAGCAGGAGTCCTTAGGCTTGGAGTAAGCTTTCAGGTACCTTCCCTGGCCCACTAGTTTAAAGCCTGCTGCGGTGAGGTGAGGAATTTCACAGCTGATCATCTGACTTTCAGTCTCCTCCTTCCACCCAGCCAATTCCCTGGAAGCCAAATGTTCACCGGGAAGTTGGGAAACTCCTAGCATTTGAGCAAGCTTTCAGGTAGCCTTCGTCTGCCCAACCCACCTCTTTGAAGCTCAACATTCCTCTGGGAGCTCAGGAGCTTCCCAGTAGACCATGAGGCTTCAGCCAGACTCTAAGGTAGCCCCCTTGCCCTCCTCCAGCTTCCTAGCATAAACCATAGCTTGGAGGCAAGAAGCGGCTTGGTAGGTAACCCAACTTAGATCTAGCTGAGTAACAAGCCTGGGAGAAGTTAGCAAGGAGCCCCGGGGCTTTTCTCACCTACCTTCTTAAGGCTTCTCTCTTGACTGAGTGGTGGGAAGCTTCTGAGCTGAATGTGGCACTTGGGGAAGGTTCATGTAGAATCATAGAATCATAGAATCATAGAGTTGGAAGAGACCACAAGGGCCATCGAGTCCAACCCCCTGCCAAGCATGGACAACATGTGTCCATGTTGCTGTAGCCTGACACTGGAACATAGGAAGCTTCCTTATATTGAGCTCAGTATTGCCTACAGTATTGCCTGGCAGTCCTCCTTGCCTCATAAGCAGCTGCTCCAAGCTCTTTCTACTCCTGTTTCCCTTACATAAAGATGCTCAGTTGCGGTAGATAGTCCCTTTCTATACAAACGTAACAGAGTCCCATAATTTCTAAATATTATTTTTTGTTGTCTAAGATGTAATTCATAATCCAATGACACCTTTGCTACAAAAGCTAAAACACTCTCCTACTGTCTAGGTAATATAGGAATCTCCAATTCTTAATTCCATTCTTTTATCAGAGTCTGCATATCAAATTGATTGATTGATACCAAATATCTATCAAAAAATAGTAACCAGCTTTTTGCTCTCAAAGGATTTAACCAATTGTTCTAATATTTCTGGTGTCTTCGATGCTGGTCCAAACAGGGTTATTAACAAATGCTGCCATCGCAGACACTTTAGGCCACCTCTGGAAAGTGGTAAGTATCTTTTAACGCAGCATATGTATGAAAGTCATCTTATTCAATTGGTCCAGAGTCAACATACCTGCATCCACCCGACCTTCCATACTATAACTCCCCTGCCCCCCAACGTAAAGAACAAACCCTCTTCTGAACTCACCGATTCCAAGGTTGGAGATGATTGAAGCAACCAGACCTCTGTTGGATGACCCACAGTCTGTTTCTGTTGGGGAGTCATTTCCGCCGCAATGAGGCCTTCAGAGTTCCCCCCAAGTTCTTAAGAAGTCCCTTTAAAAAGAACACTGACATCCTGAGAGCTGGCGTGAAGGTGTGAAAATAATAATAATCAGAAATGAGGTCCAGGGGATATATTTGGGAGCCAATCACTTCCTCTTTTTTATCACCTGGTTTAACACCTTTTCAAAACCCAAAAGTTCCATTGCTCAGAAAAACAAGGCTATATGAAGTACCGGAATTGGGCTGAATTTGGCCTGCAAAAACTCAAACCACTTGTTTTTCTCTTACCTATGCACACATTAATTAATTAGTTGATTAAACTTAACAGGGTTAGTTTGGTTTTTGTCCAGGGGCAAT